CCGGCTGTGGGCTCTGGGGTGGGGCCAGGGCTGAGGGTTGGGGTGGGGGCTCTGGCTGTGGGTGCGAGCTCTGGGGTGGGGCTAGGGGTGCAGGCTGCCCCAGGGCTACGGCAGGGAGAGAGGATTTCCCCTAGTTCTCTTTCCCTGCAGCAGCACCTGGACTGGGGGGGGGGGGGGGGGGGGGGGGGGCCGCCCCCCCGCCGCGGCAGGTCGAGGCCAGGGCATCTCTCCCCTAGCCATGGCAGGTCCGGGCCGGGGCCAGGCTGTGGCGCTTCTCCCCTGGCTGCAGCAGGTACGGGGCTAGGTTGGGGCTGCGGGAGGGGTGCCTCTCCCGTCGGTGGCAGGTCCAGGGTTGGGGGAAGATGCATCTCTCCCTGCCGCAGCCCTGAGCACCTGCAAGGCGCTTAATAGGCTGCTGCACAGCTGCGCAGCTTAGAGGGACTTATTGTAACACAAATAAAACTTTTTTCCCCAACTATGTGGTTTATCAAAAGCATGTTACGAATATAGTTGGTTGTTGTGTAGAAGATCTTTTACTTGTAAGAAATCAGACAAAAGAAAGCAAAAAACCAGAAGGGCAACTGAAGCCATGTTAGATTCCATTTGCAATATTTCTATTTTTGTAGTATTATGTTGTAGGCAATTTCTAGAAACTAACCCTTGGCATGAATTAAACAAGCAGACAGGCCAGAGATTGTGGATGGAAATTAAGGCTAATTTTAAAATAAATTTGTAGGTCATCAGGAGCTGCATGCACTTTAAGCTCTTGTCGGTGATTCAAGTTACCTACAGTAGGGTGAAGCATACAAATTAAACAAACTGGGCTCTGGGAACACAGCTACGTGTGGTACCTGAGGCAGCAAATCAGGGCAGGAGCTGCAGACATTATAAATCAAAATTGTAAGCAATTTTTATCAAGTACTGAATCATAAACAATCCCACTCAAGCCATGGATTAAAAAGTTTAAAAGAAAAATGAGTCATTAATTACATGATTAAATAAAAGCTGAAATATCTAGGATGACAGATGCTGATGGCAGTGTTTTTTCTGTATTTTGTAGTACTGCATAAAGGAACAGTTGAAACAGTTGCTTCCCAAGATTAATCATTATTTTGTTAAGAGGTTTTAAACAGCTTACATATTCAGTTTCAGTAATATGTACTGAATTCTCCCCAGAAACTATCGTGAGAAGAGCATACAGTACAAACAACTAAAAAATAATCTTTCACTTAACTCTTAAGAGGTCTTATAACTCCTGTCATAACCAGCTCAAATTAACAAGTGAATTCATAACCATATCGGTACCCTACAGAAGCAGAAAGCTGGGCTAGTGAGGTTTAGTTATATACTCTACAAAAAAGTGTTTTGTGGGCTTTGCATAGATTTTGCTACTTAGATGCAAAACAACAATTAGCCTTATCCAGAGTTTTATGAACACCCATTCCCCAAACATAATGTTTAATAAAATGTTCACAAGGTAGACAGATTGCAAGACAATATTGACCCTGGTTCAATTATCATGGTTCTACACTGATCACACATTTGTGAGATAAGCCTGCTTACCATGCCTTTTTATGTTGACTCCCTGATAAGGAAACACTTTTTTCTTTGACAACTCCAGCAGCCAACGAATAGTTGATTTACACAGGCCAACAATTTCCACAGCAGATCCATCTCTAAGATGAAAAAAGAACAGCTACTCATTTTAAGAAGAAACTTAAATGAAGATATTAGGTCACAGACTTTTTATGCAGATACCAACATTTGAGGATTTTTTCCCCCATGAATATATTCAAACCTCTAAAAAACAAGGATTAATTACTGTCAGTTTAAACTCACATTTGATGCTCTAGAAAGTGAAACTTCTTGACAAATCATTAACATATCCCCCTTCCATATACAGAGGCAGATACCATTCCTGATGCCCTTCCCAGACACTTTCCATTACCTCCCAGCATCTGTGATGAGCCCAACCCAACTTGCGCTAACTGAATACTTCAATCTTCAATTTCTGCCAAAAACTGGAAACACAAATGACTATTGTGGGCAAAAAGGAGATTTAGCTGCCAGTCATCCAAATATTGACAGCATCATATTACTTTCAATTCTCTCCTAGTGGCCTCATGTACATATTAAAATAAGTTGGGATGGGGAGAGCAAGTCTCACCAGACAGGCCTGAGGAAGAAAAACAAAATGTCCAACATGATTCTCTGAAAAGCAGAGAGCTACTCAAATGGCATCCCATCTAACTCAGCGAGAGTCCATCTATGGAAGGGCTTGATGCGCTCCAGGTAGAAAGTCAGGGTGCGCCTGACATCTAGAGTGTGCAGCCGCCTCTCCTCATTGGTCATGTGAGGCTTTGGACAGAACACTGGAAGGAAGATATCCTGGTTAACATGGATGTGCGACACCACCTTTGGCAGGAAGGCCGGATAGGGCTGCAGCTGGACCTTGTCATTGTAGAATACCATGAATGGGGGCTCCGAAGTGAGGGCTTTAATTTCAGAGACATCTCTCCGAGGTCATAGATACAAGGAATGCAATCTTCCATGACAAATGAGAAAGGGAACAAGTCATAGGATCAAAGGGCGGACCCGTGAGCCTGGAGAAGACCAGATTGAGGTCCCATTGCGGAACTGGATCTCGGATCAGCGGAAAGAGTCTTCCAAAGCCTTTCAGAAACCTGATTGACATCTTATGCGAGAACACCGATCTACCATGGATGCGAGGATGGAAGGCTGATATGGCAACCAGGTGCACCTTGATCGAAGAGAAGGCAAGAAACCCTGGATGCTTTTAGTGAAGCAGGTAATCCAGGATGGACTGCAGAGATGACTGGGTCGGGGAAATATTCCACTCAGACGCCCAAGAGGAGAAATGCTTCCACTTTGCCAGGTACGTTGTTCTGGTGGAAGGCTTTCTACTCTCCAAGAAAACCTGCTGTACCTGACCAGAGCAAGCTTGTTCCTCTGGATTCAGCCACACAGCATCCAAACTGGGGTGGTGAGAGGCGAAGTTTGGGTGCAGGAGTCGACCGTGATCCTGCAAGAGTAGGTCTGGGAGGCTGGGAAGTGGCCACAGGGCTGCAACAGCCATGTCCATGAGCACGCTGAACCAATGCTGGTGAGGCCATGCTGGGGCGATCATAATGACCTGTGCCTTGTCCACCTTGATTTTTCGAGAGGACTTTGCTGATGATCAGAATTGGTGGGAAGATGATCATCAGGTCTCCTGACCAAGACAGGAGAAAGACATCGGAGAGTGAGCCTCTGCCGAGGCCTCAAAGAGAAAACTGATGACTCTTTCTGTTCTGTCTGGTGGCAAACAGGCCCACGCGGGGAGCTCCCTACTTCTGAAAGAGCATTCTGACAACCTCTAAACACCTGCACCACCCAACCGGACAGCTGGGGCAGCGTACCGAGATGCACTCCCCAACCGAGGTCGGACGCATCCGAAATCAGGGAGACAGTGGGTCGCAAATGGCACATCTTCCAACACCAGAATTGGGTCAGACCACCCGAGAGGCAGAAAGGTAAGGACCCCGGGGGGGGGGGGGGGGGGGGGGGGGATCGTGATGACCTTGTCTAGGTGATGTCTGGCTGGGGAATAGAGCAATGCCAGCCACAACTGGATGAGACGCAGCCTGAGTCTCGCACGTTGGACAATGTACGTGCATGCTGCCATGTGCCCCAATAGTCTGAGCCAGACTCTGACCATGGTGAGCAGATGGGCGGGGATGCTGGCAATCAGATTTGACATTGCCCTGAACCTAGCCTCTGGCAGGAATGCTCTGGCTCGGATAGAGTCGAGCACTGCGCCGATAAAAATCTATCCGTTGGACCAGGATCAATGTTGATTTTTGTTTATCAATAGGCCGAGAGCTTGAAAAGGAACGTCTCGATGCTGTGGTGGACCTGGACCCTGGAGCGGCCCTGGATGAGCCAGTCATTGAGGTATGGGTAGATCTGGATACCCCGATGTGTAAAGTAGGCCTCCACTACCGACATGCATTTAAATAAACACCCTTGGCACCATTGCTAGGCCAAAAGGTAGCAGTTCAAATTGGTAGTGGGCAGTCTCAACTACGAAACGTAGGAACCATCTGTGTCTGAAATATCAATATGTGGAAGTAAGTGTCTTTCAGGTCGAGCGCGGCGTACCAGTCTCCCAGATCCAGGGAAAGAATGATGGAGACCAAGGAGACTATGCGGAACTTCAATTTCTTAAGATACTTGAGGCTCCACAGGTCGAAGATGGGGCGTAGATCCCCCTGGGCTTTTGGGATCAAAAAAATAGCGGGAGTAAAACCCTTTCCCCCCTAGCTCCCACCCGCAGAAGGCTCTGCACCTCCTGAGCGAGCAGATGCTCATGAGAAGGGTCCCTGAAGAGGGACGGGGAGGAAGGGTGGGATAGAAATAAACTGGAGGGCATATCCCCCTGCAACTGTGCTGAGGACCCACTGGTCCAATGTTATAGAGGCTCAGGCGGGGAGGCAGGATCCAGGACACAGGCAGGAAGGTCGCCCTCACGCGCACCCTCAAAATGCCTGCTTGTTACCCGGTTGGTTATGGGTGAAGCTCAAGTGAGCTGAGGGTGTCAGCTGCTGGCCTTGCCAGTGCTTATAGCTTTTTCCTTCTTGCAGAAGGGCGCTGATCAAGGTTGGCTCCTGAACCTGTGTGGCTGTTGCGGCTTAAACCACTTCCTTGCCGGCCCTGACATGAAAAGGCCCAGGGAGTGCAAGGTAACCCTCGAATCTGTCAGGCCATGTAATTTACTGTCTGTTTGCTCTGAAAACAGTGCCAGGCCATCGAATGGGAGGACCTGGATGGATTGTTGAACCTCCAATCGATAGGCCTGATGACTGCAACCAGGATGCGCGCCTCACAGAAATGGCTGAAGCTACGGTCCAGGCCGCAGAGTCTGCGGCATCTGAGGCTGTTTAGAGGGCTGCCCTGGCCACAGCTCTGCCTTCCTCCAGGATAACCAGGAATTCCTTCCTGGGCTCTTCTGGCAGCAAATCTGCAAACTTGGCCATAATATTTGGCAGTCCATAATCATAACGACCAAGTAAAGCCTGACGGTTGGCCACTCTCAGCTGTAGACTAGACGTAGAATAAATTTTTCAACCAAAAAGATCGAGCCTCTTTGCCTCCTTGTTCTTAGGTGTCGATCCTGGTTGGCCCTGTCCATCATGTTCATTGGCTGCCGACAACCAGTGAGCTTGGGGCAGGGCGAGTATAAAAATACTCATACCCCTTAGCGGGGATGTAGTATTTTCTTTCCATCTGCTTGGAAATGGGGGCAGGGAGGAGGGTGTCTGTCACAGGGCCTTAATAGTTTTTACCACTCCTTCGAGCACTGGCAATGCCACCTTCGGGAGGGCAGCTGCACTTAGAACACTGAACAGGTAGTCTGAGGACTCCACCAGTTCCTCGGCTTCCAGCCCCAGGTTTGAGGCGACCTTCCTCAAAAGCTCCTTGTGGGCCCTTGCATCATCCGAACTGAGTGAGAGGGCCCTGCTATCGCCTCATCAGGTGAAGATGATCAGGAAGCAGGTCTGCCAACTCCACCACTTCTGCTAGGGGAGCCTCGGCCGAGGCTGGTTGACCCCGACTCTGCATCTGAATCAGGGCAGGAGACTGTTGCAGATTGTCTTTGTAGATGTCCCTGAGACCGGCCCAAGCCCTGCGATGGGTGGGGAAACCCCCAGGGGTTCCATAGTTGCAGGGGGCTGGCCACTGGCATTGGGGCTATGCTGCCACTGGTGGCCCAGAAGGGAATGCCGATGCCCTTGGTGGGTGGCTGTGGCCTGTGGGCAGGTTCTCCTCCTCACTGTCCAAGGGAGAGACTTGTCTGGGGGATCAGGACAGTACCGAGGCCACCTGTCTACCCTGATCCCGTTGGCTCTGGCCATGGACCTCCATTGAGGACCTGTATGGGGGCAATGGCTCTCGGCGCCGTGAGTCTGGTGATCGGTGGCCCATCCTTAGAGAGCGATGCCGCTCCATAGATCGTGAGTAGGAATGGGAGCGAGAAGACCGACGTCATGCCCGCAGTGAACCATACCGGCGATCTGGCGACCAGTGATGGGGCTCCAGGGACCGACGTCTTGACCCTCCGGAATGGTGCTGTGAGAGCGGCTCTGGTGCTCCTGGCACCAGGGCTCTAGGGGTGTCACGCCTCTGTGGGTCTGCGCCAGACCGCTGGCAATTGACACCTACAGCCTGAGGAATGCTGCCTAGAGTCTGGGGTCAGAAACTGGCAGGTAAGCCGACCCGGTGGCACTGTTCCGGTGAGCACTGGCTGGGCACCCCGTGCAGCAGTAATGGTGACCACTGGAAGGGTCCCAAAGAAGGTTTACCCCTTGAATGGGGTCTCTCAGTGGCTGGCGTGGGCAGCACTGGAAGGGACAGATGTCCTTAGTGGCCTGAAAGGCCTCTGGCGTAGACAGCACCACCAGGTGCCGAGTGCCTCTGCTCCTTTCCAAGGAGGCAGGTGGGTCTTGAAGTGGGCTTGACAGTTCAGTGGGAATCTGAGCCTGCCCACAGTCCGGAGGGGAAGAGCTGCCCCGAACAGGTCTTTGCTCTCCTCCAGCTCTCTCTTTCCCTTTACAGGACATAGGAGAACACCCCCTCCCGGCCTTCCTTTGCTTTTTAGTTGGTACCGGGATGGGGATTGGTGCCAGTCAGAGGTCGCTGCTGGCAGTGTGTTCCGCACCAAGGCCACGGTGCTCGGAGCAGAGTCCAATCTCGTCGGCTCCGAGGCTGGTGCGAGGGCTGACTCTGTAAGGAACACTCGGAGACGAATGTCCCGCTCCTTTCTGGTCTGTGGCCTGAAGATCTTGCTAATGTGACACTTGTCGCTCACGTGGGTTTCCCCTAAACACTTGCAGCTTCTATGGGAATCACTGACTGGCATGGGCTTTTTGCAACAGTCACAAGGTTTGAAGCCTGGGGACCTGGGCATGCCCCATCCCTAGGCTGAGTCCCATATGGGACTAATTATTTATAATTTAACACTAAGGGAATTATTAACTATACAACCTTAAACAACTATATACAACAAATTCACTACTAGGCACAATAGAGACAGGAAATCATGCCGAAGCAAGGAGATGTTCCAGCATCATCACTGGTGGAAAGAAGGAACTGAGGGAGGATGGAGCCCGCGGTGCTTCTTATTACTGGTGCAAATGCGTGCCACTCCAGAGGGTGCCAGAGCTGGTCCCCTACGGATATTACTGAGGGAAAAATATCTGGCACCAGTGCATGTAGCGAGCACACACACCAACAGTGTAATGGACATGAGCAAGGACTCAAAGAGCCACCAAACAGACATGGTATTCGATTTTGTGGAAAGACACTGAAAGCTTTGCAGTAATAGTTCAAATACCTTTCCTTGCCTTGCACAACTGCAACTGATCTGAGCAACCTTATTTCTCCTGTCCTGTGTCAAAGCCAGAGAGTCTGCACCAGTTTACAGGCATATAGTAACTTTTTTTAAAAAATGTTTCATCTATCTAAAATTGAATAGATGTCAGCAGAATACAGAGCTTTCACTGACAACATTTTAATATTAATATTAGCATTAGGGAAGGAGGATAAGAAAGAAACCTTTGCAAATATTTCAAGTTCTACATATGGTAGCACTCAAAACCCCCAACAAGCATCAACATAGAATATTACTGGGTATTTTCTCAATATCTAAATAGTTAACTTTGCTAATTATTTAGTGCTACAGCAGTGTAATTTACATCAGACATGAAGAGTTAACATTATATTTGACTAGCATATTGAACAGAGTATGTCAACAGATTGCAAAACATATAATGTTCTTTTCCTCTGAATCTGCATGGTACACAGAAGGTTTCTGTTAATGTTTTATAATAGTCAAATAGAATTCAGAAGGGTCTGGAATATTTCACATATCACTCTTCATGTTTTATTACTGGTGGCATAGGAACCAAGAGCAAGGATCTCGCTATGCAAGAGGCTAAACTTTGACTTATTCTAAAGTTATACAATACAGCTTATATTTTGTACCTTGGAGTAGCTGGAATTCCTTTGTTGCGAGCTCTATCACTCTCTCCCATTTTATCCATCCATGTGCCACAATTAAAGCGGTTCCCTCCAAAGACAAAACCAGTTTCATGGTCGACACCTACAGTCACACTAAAACCTACCCAGCAAGAAAATCAGAATGAAGTCAGCTTGTTTCTAAAGAACCACTGAAAGAAAAAGACGAAGGTCTTCCTAGAACCACCACGTACATTTTTGTAATGGATATGCTAATATTATTTACAGAGTACTCATGCCAGAATAGCTGAAATTAAAGTGTTAACACGTATATTTAGAATATTACATTGTTAGTTGCACTGAATGTAAAAATAGTTTTGCAGAAATTAGCTTAACTAAAAGAAAAAATCTGTACAACAATTTTACTCACATATAAGCAAGTTAAGTAACACAAGTTACTTACCTTCATCCCTCATATTTTGATCTAACTGTGGACCAGCATTCCTTTCTTGGAATTCTATGCCTTGCATGTGTTGTTGCATAGCTTCCTGTATTACTTCATACAGTGGTTGGTCCTGGTTTGTTTGTTTGTGTGACAAGGGAGAAAGACAAAGAGGCTGTATGTAATATTCAGATAAGTACTTTAACTTTTCAAGCAATCCAACAGAAATTCAATCAGAGTTGGCCAATTTTTTTTTTTTTTAAAATTGAAATTTCAAATGTTGAAAAACTTGGAGAACACTAGAAATAAAACTGGTGACTTTTTTTGCCCTTGTTTCAAAAAAGTTTTATTCTCCATCATCCGTGTGCTTGATACGAGTCATCAAACTGTGTGGCAAATAACCAAAATGTGGAACATCCCTGTTTTACTGCACATTCCACCATAAATGAGAGAATTTTTATAGCTATAAAATCTTCCATGAAGCCCTCCATTAATAAGCAAACACTGTCCCTCAAAATACTATGAATGCTGTCCCCAGTAAAAGCTAACCTCTGCAAAAATATTTCTTTGAGTAGGAGAATGTGCTGAATAGTGATTCTTTTTTTTTTTAGGATTTAATTTACTTATAATTATGTTTGTAGTATGTAAACAGCTTATTAGAAATTATCTTTACCAATGTGCCTGCAGGCTGAGCCGGAGAATCATCTGTAGGATACATTCTGGAAACAGGACACTTGAGAATGTCTGTGCCATTTGGAACAATTTTACAGTAATCCTGTATACACTGAAGCCACCACCACACAGCATCACGGCAATTGAATCTGGCATGGGTCCCTTGGCCAAGCAGATTGGGAATAAGACCATGTCTCATGGTACTAGCAAATGCTAAAATTATGTTCCTTAAAAACAAAAACAAAAAAATCTGATATACACTGTACTGGTTTTCAAGGCAGTGAAAGTTCCAAGTAGTAAACTAAAAAATACAATATATTTTTATACCAAGATATGTTGGGGGGGAGGGGGGAAATTAGGATTGAATGGCAAATGTCAACATCCTGGTGTTTCATGGTACAAAGGTGACTACACATAATACAAGCTTTTAAAAAAATAACCGTCCATATACTCAGTAATGCCAACCAACGCAAACATGGAAGGATATATTTAAAGGTGTATGCTCAACTTTTCACCCACCTCCCCCCAATACCTTCATTATATAGCAGAGTTCTAAACAGAACTGTGTTTTGGAATGCTTAACATTTCAGCCGCATTTTATATCGACTTTAAAATTAATATTGAGTGCTTGATCCTAAACGTATTTTTCCTGTATTTGTAAAAAAACAACAGATTAGGAATCTCATAACTGAATAAAACCAAGTTCCTTAGCAAAGTTCAAAAGGAATGCCTGATCGTGTATGTGACACACTCAAGTGGTATTGTCTTCTGATCCTTTCAAAAAGGGAAAGGAGGCAATGGGGGAAAAGAATTTATCATATATATGAGAGAATTTCTGATTACAGGGATCAGTCTCGGACTCTTTACATCAGGCAAAACCTCCATTGACTTTAGTGGGAGTTTTACCTAAAGGCATAATCCTGTAATGGCATTCAATACTACAGACCCTTACATTACTGGAATCCTATTGTCTTTAAGAGGAATTACAGGCTGGTATATGGGACCATACTAGCAGATCCCTTTGCAACAACAGAATCTAAGAGAGTGCTGCAGAGTGAGGCTAGTAGTTACTTGACCCTTTCATTGGTTTTATATTTCCATAACCAAAAGTAAATACATACACAAGTTTTCACTGAGAATGAGTTAATTTGAGAAATCCATACTTTCATTCTCAGCTCACTTCAGTACCAATATTTCATGGCAAAAAAATTAAAACTGACTAGTGGAAAAGACATGCCCACAAACTTATGTTTATTTGTTAGGTTTTAGACATATATTGCACATACAAAATTTAGTTTGCAATGATCCACAAAACACTGACTTCCAGCTTTGATAGCTATATTAGGGATCTCCACAAAACACAAAAGACACCTCCCCACACCTCAAATCTGATTGCAAAGAGATTCTCAAATCCGCTGTTCTCCAATACTGATACAAGTATTTAATATCAAAATAAAATCCCGTAGCAGATACATTTCATTCAAACTTAGTATGAGCACTATAATGTGCTGGAGAAGAAGTTATGCATATAAAAAAAAATGGAATAGGCGCTTCACACCAACATTTAAAAACAACTGAGATGCATGGTAAGTATTTTGTAGTTCTATCTGCTAAGAATTCAAAAAAGGCCTAGTGCCACAGTAAATGAGAGCATTTCAATTGTTTTAGAAAAAGTAGTAAGCTTTCTTCCAGTTATATATAGAAAGCTGGATTAATACCTATGAAGACTGTTATACATTCATTCTTACCTTGCTTCTAAATAACGCCCAGTAATCAACATTAGACCTCTCAGTGCAATAAAGGTATCCCTTCCCCAGCAGCGGAAAATGCCAGATGAAAAATGTGGCAAACCTAAAGAGTAAACATGATGAACTAAGTCATTAGACTGTTTAATATGAAAATTCTACACATGTGCACACACACACCCTGGGCCAGCAGCAGCAGTTTGGGTGTGTGGGAGAGGGCTCAGGGCTAGGGGTTGGGGGATGCTTACCTAAGGGGGGGGGGGAGGGGCTTGCCAGCTCCCATTGGCATGATCCTGCAGCTCCTAGGCGAAGGGGCCAAAGGGCTCCATGCGCTGCCCATGCCCTCAGGCCCCACACCCGCAGCTCCCATTGGCTGTGGCTCCTGGACAATGGGAGCTGTGCAGCCAGCGATTGTGGCAGGAGCAGCGTGTGGATCCCCCGGCCCCTCCACTGCCACGGAGCTGCAGAGACACACGGGGTAGGGAGCCCCAGCCAGTCCTGCCAAACCCCATCCCCCCAGAACCAGCAGGGGTCCTGGGCCACCTCCCCCAGCACCTGTGTTGCCCTGGACCGCCTCTGCCCAAGTTTTAGTTAACTTAAATTAGGGAAAAAAAATTTCATTACTTGTCCTTCTAGAACGAAGAAAAACCCATTTCAATAAGGTTTAAACCTATAAAATGTAGAGAGATGTAAAAAAGAAAATCCAAAACACTTTTATAAACAGAGGTGAAACTTTTATTGAAAGAAACAAAGGCAAAAATATTTCCCAGAACAACTGTCTTTATATTTAGAAACTGTCAGATTTTAGACATTCTAAAATATACCGTACCAGACAGACAAATATATCTGGAAATATGTAAGTTACGTTCATTCAGAAATTGCACATACTACTCTATGCTTTATTCTTCTGAACACGTATATTTTTAAAAAGATTGCTTGTAACTGCAGCAAAAAGTGATCCAAAATCAGGAACAGTTAATCTCAATTTAGTAGAAATTGCACTAAACAATCTGCCTCTGCCATTCGACCCTGGTCCTCTCTCTCAATTACTTTCTAGGCAGCTAACGAACTTAATTAGTTTGGAAACTACATACTTACTATCTCCTCCTAAAACCAGGGTTACTGTCTTGTTGAATGAGTTTTCTGGAGCTGAATGCTGGATACTGCCATGCTCAAGTTCTAATTTTTGTCACAGACCTGCAATTTCTGCATGACAATTTAAGGAGCTATTTTACCAAGAATTTCCATATCTATTTCATGTCCAGCTGGGGAAAGTCAGTTCTCTAGATATTTGGTGGACTTAGTGACCACCTGAAGTCAATATCCAGTGTGGCAATTTTTTAACAACAAAAGCGAATAAAGATTATACTGTTAGCAAGAATGTTTTTAGTTCAACAGGGGTTAAAAAAAGTTCAAGAGGTGACAGTTGAGGAAAATAAAAACATAGTTAAAGGATAAACTAGAAATCTTATGGGAAGTGTTCCACAACGTATTTCAACTGCTGAAGAGTTACAGGGAAAGAGAACATAATTCTGGAGCTCAAAAGGTCTCAGAATATGACAGAGTAGCTCAAGTTGCTTATAGTTCAAGATATAGCAAAAGTGAAATTCTTCACAAGCCTTCCTTCAACAGCAATAGCAGAAACATTGCCTGGTTATGCTTCTCTCAGACACAAACAAAACAAACCCAAGAATAAAAAAACCCTTCACATTAAACAGAGCAGATTAAGGCAGTGGAAAGTAAACAGCTACTGACAAAGAAACAGTATTTTTTATTTGGTCTCTAAACATCATGGTCCCGGCACATTGATCTTGCTGTCTACACATTTCTAAGTAGTTGCACTGTTTTGTAAGACAACCTGCTTCCACAATCATAGAATCAGCCCTTACTTACCAGCTGCTAAGGAAACACAGCACTGTTCTTTCTCTTTTGTGATTTCATTCATCCTATAGGGGACATCATGTAAAGCAGGAGACAGATTTGGCAGAGAAGGATATTTTCCTATCCCACACATCTGGACTGAACCCAAGGAAAGGTGTTTAACAAATGTTGATCCATTCTGAACAAAACTGTAATCAAAGTAGTTGAATTGAAAAAAAACAAAAACAAAATCTCTTTTCAAATTCAGCAACTTCACTGTTAAAAGTTCACCCATTTCCCCCGTTGCCATAGTTTAAAAACCTGCTTCATAAGGGTGCTCCAGTTGCAAAATACTGTAATCATTTTCAAAAGTGAGTTCCTAAGATTAAGTCATAAATTATTAATGCCAATGGGAGCTGCTGAGTTCATAGCACTTGAAAAATCAGGCCATTTATTTAGGTGCCTAAAGATAAATCTGAGCCCCTAATTTCAGGTACCCATTTTTTTTCTTCCAAATCCTGGCCTTTACTTTTCTGTTAATTTAAAAAAAATTATTTATATTGAAAGGAGACAATAAAACATTCTGGTATTTTATTACCTAGTTGATCTTAAAGCAAAGAAAAATTCTCAATTCTACACAAAGTATTTTAAAATTCAACTATATTTAAAAAGATGATACATTTAAATGATTTTTATTAATTTGTGCCTGGGTCTACATGCTTGACTAGTACAACATCAACAACCCCCCCCCCCCCGGAAAAATAACAAAACACCAATATCAGATATCAAAACTGTTCCAAGATGGAGAGGGTCTCTCTTTTTACAGGAAATTAATGTTAGCCATGTTTAAAAACAGAAAAGAATAGAAACAAAACAAAACGAGAAAAGGGACAATTACAAAAAAAAAAAATGAAGAAAAGGCAGCCTTTCAAGACTGGAAGACGGACACTTGTTTAATGTCTCATTCCCTATTATTGCACTGCCAGCATTAGCTGCAAATCCAAGTCCTGGAGCAACAATAAATTACTGACCTTCTAGTCCAATGTTCATAATTTTCCCTTGGTGAAAACTATATGTACCTTCTAATCAGCTTTATGCTTTTCCATTGGCCAACATGAATATTTATTTTTGGCTTATCTTCTAGTACATCAGTACTATTATGCAGGCGGCCATACAGTTTAGGAATTGTGTTAGGCAGCTGAGATAAACCTAACAGAAGACACTGCATTTGTGCATTTAACATTTGCAATGGATTGAAAGATTAATAAGGAGAGCACCTTTTTTTGGATTCTAATCAGATTATTGCAGTTTCAAGGAAGACAAAATTTTGGCCAGAAAACTTTTAGTGCCTTTTAAGTAAGCATATGTAAAGTGTTTAAATGACTATCCTGATGCACAAATGATAATACAACACAACGTAAACAAACACATACATTTCTTTCAACACTATTAGACATACCTAGACATCTGACTCCATGCCAGATCTAGAAGAGTTGTGTATGCACCCACTAATATGGCATCAAAGTAACATGGGATAAGGTAACGTGGAATCTGCTTTAGGTAGACGAACATGGCCTTCAACCATTTACCGACCTATTAGAATAATATTTTTGTAAGTTAACAACTCCTGAATGCAGCAAAGGCTACTTTCAGGGAATTAATACTATGGCAATCATGTTTTGCACTGGAAAACAAGTAGAATTCCTGTTACAGTTTGCTTACACTTTTTAGGCCCCTATTATGTTTTTTGTATTATAGGCAGGACTGGCAGCACCACCTATTCCAGTTGGCAGAAACTTCCCATTATAAATCCTGCTTTCAGTTGCTTGTAATTTTGCCGCACTTTAACCATTCACACTGAAGTTTTCCATGCCACACGTCTTCCTCAGAATGAAATTTTTTTTTGTATGTTTCAGCCAAATTGGTTCTGCTGTTTCAGAGAATGAGGCTAGGGAAAACTGTTGCTTTGTAATGTTTAAAAAAAAGTTATGGACACCTTTTATTTGAGACGCTTTAGAGACTGTGCTTTGGAGCAGGGACTTGAAATTTGGCAGGGAGTGGCCTTTCTGTCAGGGATGTGCCCTTTGCTGTTCCTGTGAAAAACTGCCCAAATTTGGCCAAGTTATAAGCCTTTGGGGAAAAAAAAATAAAAAAAAATCTCAGTTTGCACATGCACACTAGAGACTAAGAATTTAGCACTACATCCACAATAAAGCATGCTCAGGCCCCATACAGGTCCTAGTTCTGACCAAACTGTGCATTCACCAGCCCACAGAGCGACTGAGAATGTTCCACAGCAGGTTTAGAGAGGTTCACTTTCCTTGTAATTGCTGCTCTGGTTCAGGTCAGGGCACTAGAACCAAGAGAAGGGAGTGTTCTTAATGAAATCAGTTTAACTTCAGTATCCTGAAAGATTATGAAGCAAATAATAACCAATTTGTAAACACCTAGAAGATAATAAGGTGATTAGTAAATTAACATGGATTTGTCAAGAACAAATCATGTCATACTAACCCAATGACTTTCTTTGATAGAGTAACAAGCCATATAGATGGGGGGGGGGGCGGGTGGAAGTGATGGATGTGGTATATCTTGACTTTAGTAAGGCTTTTGATATTGACCTACATGATCTGCTCATAAAGAAACGAGGAAAATATAACCTAGATGGAGCTACTATAAAGTGGGCACATAACTGGTTGGAAAACCATTCCCAGAGAGTAATCATCAGTGTTTCACAATGAAGCTGGAAGGGCATATCAAGTGGGGTCCTGCAGGGTTTGTTCCTGGTTATGGTTCTTTTCAATATCTTCATCAACGATTTAGATAATGTCAGAGAGTACACTTATAAAGTTTGTGGATGATACCAACCTGGGAGGAATTGCAAGTGCTTTGGAAGATAGGATTAAAAATCAAAATGACCTGGACAAACTGAAGAAATGGTCTGAAGTAAACAGAATGAAATTCAATAAGGACTAATGCAAAGTACTCCGCTTGGGAGGGAACAACCCATTGAACACATACACAGTGGGAATTTCCTAGGGAGTCATGAGTACCATGGAAAGGGATCTGGAGGTCATAATGGATCACAAGCTAAATATGAGTCAACAGAATTACTGTTGCAAAAAAAAAAAAAAAAGTGATCATCATTCTGGGATGTATTAGCAGGAGTGTTGTAAGCCAAACACGAAAAGTAATTCTTCCACTCTACTTCATGCTGATAAGGCCTCAGCTGGAATAGTGTGTCCAGTTCTGGGCATCGCATTTCAGGAAAGATGTGGACAAATTGTAGAAAGTCCAGAGGAGAGCAACAAAAATGATTAAAGGTCTAGAAAATATGACCTATGAGGAAAGATTGAAAAAGTTGGGTTTAGTCTAGAGAAGAGAAGACTGATGGGAGATATAACAGGTTTCAAGTACATAAAAGGTTGTTACAAGGAAAACCTCATTAACCTCAGAGGGTAGGACAAGAAGAAATAGATTTAAATTGCAGCAAGGGAGGTTTAGGTTGGACATCAGAAAAAACTTCCTAAATGTCCATGTAGTTAAACACAAATTGCCATGGGAGGTTGTGGAATCTCTGTCATTTGAGGTTTTTAAGAACAGGTCAGACAAACAACGGTTAGGAATTGTCTAGTTATTACATAGTCCTGCCTTGAGTTCAGGGGACTGGACTAGATGACCTACTGAGGTCCCTTCCAGGCCTTCACTTCTATAATCTCCCTGCTGGTGCCCAGGCAGCATGGCAGAGGAAGAAGCTGACAATCAAATGCAGAGGGGACAAGAAACGAACTGGGGGAAGAGCCAAAGGGAGTAGATTGGGACAAGGAGCCTGGTAGAACTGGGACTGAAGACTGGGAGGGAGGAGAGAAACTGTGACCTAAGGGGGCGGGGGGGGGGAGAAGAGGAGGGCTGATTGGGCAAGGACACCAACGAGAGCCAGTCAGGGAAATGGGGTTGGGGAGAGGAAACAGATTGGTGAATGAGCTGTGGGGGACGATCAAGGTCAGAGTAATGGGGAGACAAATCTGACAAGGAGCCAGGATTTGAGGAGAGAACTGGACTGACTGAGCAAAGAGACTGGGCCTAATTGGGTGAGACGCCTGGAATTGGGAGTCAGTGTGTGGGGGCAGAGGAGACACAGATTGGATGAAGGGCCGGGAATGTGGGGGAAATAGATTGAGATAAGAACCCTGAGGATTGGAGACTAGGATTGGGTAGGAAAAGAGACTAGGACTGGGACAGGGAAAAATTGGAGGGGATGGGGCGGAGGGGGGAAGTCAATCTTGTAGTGGTGCAGAAGGGGCTGTCACCACAAGAGCATGCTCTTTTCTAGAGCCTGGACTGAACTCAAGATTCTTGGGGCTTATCATTCCTCTGCGGTCAGCAAGTATCTGTGAAACCCACTGGCAGAGTGTCTCTCTCACTCTCCCTCTAATGCTGGTCAATACAAAGGATGACAACCTACTACTGCTATTAGTTACTCCATGAGCTCAGGTGGCAGAGGTTTGTGAAGTAGATCTAAAGGTTCCAGCCTTATAGATAAAAAACACATTGGTATCAATATGATGCACATAATGGAATTTGTTTTTTCAGTTGGCTTTTATAAAACTTTCGATATTAGGCATAACAAACCCTATGTTAAAACATTAAGGTTACAAAATCAAGCACTCAAAAGTTATGCCAGAATTAAGGTTATGTGTATGCATTATGATAGTCTTCAATTATATGATCATGTACTACTTTTTCAGTGAAGTAAAGTGAAGGCGAGGATTATAACAGAGTTTAAAAGAGAACTAGATACATTCATGGAGTTTAATTCCTTAATGGCTATTAGCCAGGATGGGTAAGAAATGGTGTCCCTAGCCTGTGTTTGTCAGAGGGTGGAGATGGATGGCAGGAGAGAGATCACTTGATCATTACCTGTTAGGTTCACTCCCTCTGGGGCACCTGGCATTGGCCACTGTCGGTAGACAGGATACTGGGCTGGATGGATCTTTGGTCTAACCCAGTATGGCCATTCTTATGTTCAATTGGACTACTAACTCATTCGGTGCATAGGATGGATAGTGGTCAGTTAATGAGCAGCTATTCAATATTTTATTTTCTCCTCATTGTTGAGTGTGTTGCCCTATGCCTTATTTACTGCACACTATTCAACCTTGTTCTGAAAACAGAATTATTAATTTCCACTTGACCTTTTAATGATGCTCATCAATATGGTATCTGAGTATGTCACAAAATTATTTTCATAACACTCATGTGAAATGAGGGGGATAGTATCATGAATTGAGTAACAGGGATTAAGGTAAAAATATCCACTAATTTTGGGCATCCAATGGTAGACACCTAGGATCTGATTTTTTCAGAGTACCTAGCATTATAACACTTTGAATATATAAAGCACAAGGGTCCAAAACAGACCCTAGGGTCTGAAGTCTGGAAACCAGAAAATGAGGCACACAATTGTAACCACTTGTTTGGTTTTAAGTGACTTGACTAGCACCACATAGCAACTCTGTGGCAGAGATAGACTCCAATTCCTCTGGACAATATTCAACTGTCCTAACCATCCCTTTTCTTACTGCAATCCCCTGCCACATTCACTACAATCCTTTCAATTTCTTCAACAAATGAAGTAGGGATCCTACAGACGGCAGCCTCCTTTCACTTCACAAATTCGTTCACTGATTCATCCCCAAAGCAGGTCCCCTGTTAACCTTCATTCTGGCATTTCTTATCCGTTGAGTGATTGACTTTGCAATGTTCTTTTAACATAGTTTGTTTGTGTGAGATATTTATATATTTAGGCCCTGACCCTGCAGATATTTCCCTTTAAGCTTATATTTAAATTTATTTTGAGGCAGAAGGAGTTGGGGGAAACTTTCAGGCCTTCTTTATACAATAAAAAAGGAACAAACGTTTTCCACTCCCTCTTCGAAGATTTTCTTTAACTCGAATGGGAGAGACATATCAGTGCTCCATCTCCTCTGTGGTCTAAATGGCTACCTAAATGAAGATGCCTGCACCAGAAGTAGTTTTTAGATAAGTATGATTGATATCAGAGGTGGCCAAACCCTGGCTCACGAACTGCACATGGCTCTTTTACTGTTAAAGTGCGGCTCGCAGAAACACTTCCCCATTCTCCACCTACCAGACTGGGGTGGGGTGGGAGGGAGCTCAGGACCTCTGCCTTGCAGCAGGATGGTGGGGTAGGGCCTTTTGCCCAGTGGTGAGGGGGGGTGTCTCGGGGCTTCAGCAGGAGCGGGGCTGAAGCCCCAAGCCCTGTAAGGTGTGCCCCGGCTCTTGAACTTCTGAAAATTGTTGTATGCGGCTCAGAGGGTCAGTAAGTTTGGTCACCCCGATCTATATGGTAACAGTTACCTATCAATAAGTGAAAGGAAAATCATCACTTAATAAATTTACTTACTTCTACACAGGCTCCTGCACGTGAAATTAGACGGTCACTGACGTAGTCAATCATCCAATCCCCAGATCTCAAATTACCACAAAAAGGATGACCCAAATCATTTTTTGGTCTAATGTCTGCCATCACTGACATTAATCCTGAAAATCAAAACATACAGCACTCTGTATTACAGGCCACATGATTATCACAACCTGGAATTCCAGTTTCAAGGAGTAAATCCAACGTTGCAGGTCTGAAAAATTATGAACCAGAGCTGGACCAGCAATACATTTTTTAACCTGATGTCATTTTTCTTCATATGTTCTAAAGGCTAGATGGAGCTTTAGGGCCCAATTCAGCAAAGCACTTAAGCATATGCTTAACTAACTTTAGGCATGTGCTGAAGTCCCACTGGAGTTCAAAATACTTAAGCATAGGCTTGAATATTTTTGAAGAACTAGGTTTATAAGCTGCTGTGCACTGCTTAGCAGAGACAGAGTGGGTGAGGTGATATCTTTGATTGGACCAAATTCTGTTGGTGAAAGAGAGAAGCTTTCGAGCTACACAGAGCTTTTCTTCAGGTCTGAGAAAGGTACGCAGAGTATCACAGCTAAATACAAGATGGAACAGATTGTTTAGCATAAGTAGTTAACACAATTTTCTAAGGCAGTGTTGTGCAAACTGTGGGGCGCACATCCCCAGGGAACATTGGGGGGGGGGGGTGAGCAGAGATGCCAGACAGCTCATGCCAGCCCCACACGGCAGGGCCCAGACCAGCCCCCTGGGGGGACAGGGAGAGAGCGTCACCACCACACCAACTCATCTCAGGGGGCTACCCAGCCTGTGGGTTAGTGTGATGTGCCGATTTATGCTCCTGGCAGCCTCCACGCCCAACACTGGCTCTGTTCCCAGAGACCGTCACACGCACCTTCCTCCACCCTGAAAACCTAAGGGGAAGAAGGGGCAGGTATTGGCCCTGCCCTACTGGTGCAGCCTGGCTGTAAGATTCAAGCGGCCCACTGTTGAGAAAGCCTTGGCTGTGCAGTAATGGAGGGGGAGCACAGACAGATTCCGTTAACAGTGGTGGGCGGGGGCGCAAACAGATTCCATTAATGATGGGCAGGGGAGCTTCTGGAAACATTTGTGCACCACTGTTCTAAAGGACCATTTAAGGTGAAGAGGCCAGTTAACACCCCTGAAGTCACAGGACAAAAAAAGAGGGGAGTTAGTGGGTTACAGATTGTTGTAATGAGACATAAATCCAGTTCTTTATTAAGAACATGAGTTTTAGTTATGGATTAAAGCTCCAAGGCCTGTTAGCAGAAACAGAACATTCTGAGACAGGAAATAGATTGGTAGGCTCCTTCAGCTGTGCGGTAGTGACTTGCAGCTCTAGTCTGATTTTACAATGAGAAGGAGCTATGGCTCAGTGGACCTACAGTAAGTTTGAGACAAAATACTGTGTAATCACAGAGCCCATGCTTCTTTATGGCTTAAAATCTAACTCAGATAATTATAAAATACATCACAATGGCATTCAGATGTTAAAATGACAGCTATTACTGACACTTCATGTAATAGGTACTATTTGTGGATTTTAGATAAGGTCGTTTCTGACTAGAGGTGTACTTAAACAGGTTTTAAAGTATTCCCAAAGGTCAGATTACCACAGTTTGACTGTAAATTAAATATTTAAACTCATCCTCTACCCCAATATTAAAAGATGTTTCTTGATTCAGAATCTTGCCTCCATTTGCTTGTTACTCTCTTTCAAGTACATACTGCATAGACCAAGCAGAAGCAACTTGGTCTTTTCTATTTGAAAAGCAAACATGCACAAAATCTAACACTATTTGACTTTTTAGATCTAGATTGAGATGATTCATTCTCCTCTTTTTCCTCCACACAAGAAAGCACGCATCAATTTTTACCTTGCAAGCCTGCATACTTAAGGGGTGACCAGTTTGGTATGTTATAACATCCTCCACCATCCTCTTGTTCCTCAGCATCACACCGATACAGTACTTGATTCAAATCAGCCAAGGTTAATTTAGAAGCAATACTGGGAAAGGGAAAAAACCCAACATTGATAACTAACTATATAACGGACATCAATTTCATGAAGAATTGTGGTTTTGGTCTAGGCCAAGCTATTTTTAAAAAGGGATGCTTACAGTTAGACTTCATGTTTAGGCTCCTGAAAACAGGGCCTGATTTTCAAGGGTGCCAAGCACCTTGCAGCTATCACGGACTTTAAAAATCTGGCCACTTATTTAGTAACCATAGCATGGATTTAAGAGTAACTATGGGCTCCTTTTAAAAAGAAACAAAAAACAAAACAACCCCCCCCTTTTTGTCCTTATTCTTTTACAAGATTTAAAATTAGCTTACTTCTTTCCACAATGCTAACTATACACTAGAGCTCTTTTTATCATTGCAAATAAGTACAGAAAACACTAAGTAAATGATCACAGATTTCAATATTATTCAACTAAAAATGATAAAATCTTTTCTCCACAAAAGCATAATGTAGTATCCACTGGTTTTTGGATTGCTATGGGAGTTTCTTTTAAGAAAGCCACTTAGATGGAATTGGTAACCTACGTAGCATGTTGACAAAGTCATCTGAACATCTTGCTGCAGGATGTAAAATTTCCTGGTATAAAATCTACAGCCAGCAGCAAACACACAGAACTACTCATGTGAAAGAGGAGGACTTTTTAAAGTCCGAACCACTACTTTCTGTATAGAGCAGTAAGATGGCTAAACAGTTGTTCATACATTAACCAAAACAGACCCAGAATTTGGGAAAGAATTGTCACTCATTAGCATTTGCAGGCTGATCTCTGCCTCTAATCCAGCTCTCTACTATATGTACTCTAACAAGGCATACTTACGAAGAAAAAAGATTTTTTAATATAGGTGCTGAACGGTCATCGGGAAGACTTCCAGATTTAAAATGAGGACTGAACTGGATCAGGTGATTACGGAGTACACCGACAGCCTCTTGTGCCTTTGGGTCGAGACTAACTCTGTAAATATCAATACACAAATTGTACAAGTTAGCACCTCCAACCACTATTTTTTGAAGTAACAGAATTAACAGACTGAAAAAAACCCACCCCTCCAGTGTATTTAATTTAGTGCAGCCAATTGACACACATTTAGTAAGTTGATAATCATCATCATATACCTGAATATTATCACACTTCCTGGTGTTAAGTTTTCAAATTCTATTTCTTGAACAAATTCATTGGGACCTTTTATGGCAGTTCCAGCTTGCTTTACAATTTTACTTTCTCGGATCTTAGAAAAGAAAAAATAGTTGAAACTATAATGAATTCAGTTTTCCTTCTCTGAAAAATTGTTGCATCTACTGGTATAGAGAAAAGATTGTAGTTACCTGGATGTGTTCTCTGATTTCTACTGTGTAATTAGGTAATCCGTTGATAAAATGCTCATCTTTTTTATAAGGACTAACATTTCTCTCAATCGTTCTAGCCTCAAGCACCACCTCTTCAATTTTGCCTATAAACAGTTAAATCACATATCATAACTCTTAAAATACATACACTCAAACAAAACTATTGATAGTGAATATTATATAAATAAATAAATAAATAAAGGCATTCTTGGTTTTAAAATAAGTTTAAATCTTGCTTGAAACACAAACTAGATTTGAGTTTAGCTATAGAAAATGCATGTCTCAATTGCACAGTTAAATTACTAAATACATTTGACAGCTCTAAAGATAGGGAATTTTATATATTTATCTATCTACTCTGTACATTACAGTGACTCAATCTTGATTGATTAAACATGTTCACTATACACTTATTGGCCATAATGTAATCTAAGATAGAACTTTCCTAACTCACAATGAGTTATGGGGATATCAGTCACGAAATTACAAATAAGGGCTTGACCCTGCAGCATTAAACCCAACAGGTGACTTGCTAGATGTGACTATCTATTTGGGGGTTCTGAATTGGGCAAAGCTCTGCACCACTTCCCAAACAGCAGTCACAGATCTTATTTTAAACAGAAGACATCAGTTTTTAAATACACAGAGCAACCACACAGACATTCAAGACCTTATTTGCTCTATCCATTCATGATCTAAAAACTAAGCCTTCAATGCTGCAACCACTTATGCATGTGCTTAACTTTAAGCATTTTAGCAGTTCCATTGACTTCAGTGGAACTACCATGTGAGAAAAGTCAAGCAAGTGAAGAAATGTTTGCAGATTTGGGTCCTTACTAAAGGTTAATATGAAAAATTGCAATGTCTCCTTCAGAAATGTTACACCAGGTCAGATCAAATATCCACTTCAATGCAGAATGCTCAATTATCTAATGTTGTCTACGGTAAGTCTTATGGACCTGGAAAAATACATATCTACAATTTATTGTGCCAGTTCTTACTCACTTGGATGCTTCTTTTTAAACTACCACTTTCAACCAACTTAAACCCACACATCGAAAATTCTTTACCTATAACTACTAGTAACACTTAAGAATACTGTAAAATGAGATATTAAGATTGCTGTATACAGACAAAAAAGAAAAAAAGACTTTTCATATAGTCAGTCCCAGTGGTTTTCTGCTAGAGTTAATTAGTTTTCCCTGTTTGTTTGGCTCATTCGCAAACAGCAAGAAAGGAAATGAAACCACAACATTTCCGTGGGGATATTGAGGCAGATGACGTATCTTTTTTAAAGTCAAAAGTGATTTCTTCAAGTTGGTGTCCCTTTAGCTATTTGTGAGGCATAGATATTAAAGCATATAAAGGTATCTAATGTTGCGTACTAATCACATAACTTTCAACAACTAGACTCATCCTGACAAGTATGGAGTCTGTCAATCACTCAGGCCTGGTCTACACTAACACCCCAATTCAATCTATGGTACGCAACTTCAGCTACGTGAATAACGTAGCTGAAGTCGACATACCTTAGTTCGAATTTACCGCGGTTCAGACGCAGTCCACACGCGGCAGGCAGGCTCCCCCGTTGACTCCGCGATACTCCTCTCGCTGAGGTGGAGTACCGCAGTCGACGGCGAGCACTTCCTGGTTCGAATTATCGCGTCCAGACCAGACGCGATAAATCGAACCCGGAAGTTCGATTGCCAGCCGTCGAACTACTGCGGTAGTGTAGACCTGGCCTCAGAGTTTCAGCTTTAAACTTAAATTTCCTTGATATTGTCAACTCTTCAAAAACAAGTTTGAATACCTGGGATGCACATTTGAGGCACTTCTTTGCTGTAGGAGGAGGTTTTAGGATCTCTGAAAGCAGTACGAGACACAGCCACAACAGATTGGTGTGTGTTAGGACAATGCCTAGTCACTGCTACTATATCTTCATCAACTTGATCCACAAACACCTACAAAATACATAAATTAACACATTCTTATTCTGAAAATAAATTTAAATGAGTGAAACATTTTACTTCAATTTCTTGCCTGAATGAAGCCTTTGGCTCCCAGCTCTTGGTGCAGCCTGTTCATGGCTAGCCTTCCTGCTATAATTCCAGTTTGGAAATTAACTTCACCAGGAGTAGAGGGTGTTGCTGCTGGATTCCATTTGGCATAAAACCTCTCTTCAGAGACTACAGAAATCTGCAAATAAATTAAACTTTAGCCATACATCAACTATTCTGAAAAATAATTGGAAATGCCATATTTTGCTTACACACACACACACACACACACACTATTACAAATTCATTTTTCACTGATATAGTGAAATAGCTAATAAGCTATCTACTTGAAATTTTAAATGAGTAAGTCACCCAACTTATTGTATATACTTTAATATGTGTGTTCCAGTATTATAGTAGTGATTCACTTAAAAAAAAAAAATTAGTCCAGTTGAAGTTTTAAAGAGGAGAGACAGACCTGGTGTGGTACTAGCTCATCATAGCCTTTGGTGCTTCCTGTAGCACAGCATGCCATGGACACAATCATTGAGCTGGGAAGAGCATCATACGCCGATCGGTGCTATTGATAAGAATAAAAACAGTAAAATGAACCTAGTCTATCATCTTCTTATTTCCTTCCAAACACATAGATACAGCACATAGAAAACCCAGTTTTACAGAAGAACTCATTGTTTATCGATGTGCTTATCACACTGTAATCACAGATTAAAACTTCTACAGGCTTTTATTTAAAACAAACAAGCAAATAAAATCATCACGAGGCTTAAAAGAGCAGAGCTCCTAACAATGTCATCCCAACCCCCAGCAATCTTCCTCTGATCCTCCCACTATTACCCATTCTAGCCTTCCCAGGATAAGTTTGAGAGAACAGGTGAACAGGCAAACATTATTAGGTTCATAATAGGTGGACATGCAAGAGTCAAAACAGGATATATTTAGTAGCTTTTATGCTTCTCTCCCAAAAGGGATAGAAGGTTGAAAGGCAGTGGGAACTACTGTACAATTCCACTTATTTCATGCAACCTTTTAACTACAGTCATGTCTTTCCAAAACACCATTCAACAGTAATTTCATTTTACATAACCCTTATGAATTGGCATGACTGAATCACAGTACAAAAAACATGTATTTAACATGAAAATCTAACATAACTTAAGTGCTCACCTGAATAGGACATTCATTATCATGTGTAACATCCATGAACAGTGCATGTGCAATAGCTGGCATTAAAGGTCTCAAACGCGGCTGAACAAAAGACCCAACTGGTTCTCCTCCAAAGCGGTAAACTAATCTTCCCTCTTCATGACTGTTATATGCACTCATTGCCTCTACAGAACAAAACTTGCATGAGTGTTTACAGGAGAATTACTACCATAACTAAAGGATATACAATAAAGATATTATAATAAATGGTTTTACATTTGGCATGTTAAATAATCAAAGATATTAATGAATAATATGAATAGAACATTAAACTTTAATTATAGGCAGTGTGTCCATAATTTGAGGGCATCCACTATGTAGTTTATCATCGTGTGTTAGGGTTGAAGAGGGAAATTTTTTTTAAAAAGTTAGGATCCCCTTTCCAAGGTCCACCAGGCTTCAGATGAGGTGATCAACTAGTTAAAAAAAAAAAAAAAACCCACCAATCAGCAGGAAGTATGGGAAAGCTATGCCATAAATATTCCTACCTTTCCTGATTGAGATATATATTACAATTCCTTTTAGGCCTCTTAAACTGAGAGATGCATCCCAAGTGTATGATGCAATAACATACTTAAATAGATAAATATAAAACAAACCATAATATTAAATGCATCTTTGAGCACTTGTTAAATACATGAAATAGGATGTATTGGACGTGCACAATTTATGACATTTTCTTCATAAATGGCATACCATACATGCAGTGTCAGAGGTGATGGGGAACCACACACATAGCAAGCCTACCTCTTATTAAGGAGCTAAGGCCCAATCTAGTCACAAAGATATTGTCCAACTCCTCACTTCCTGTGAACAGCTCAGCCACTACATACAAATCAGCACGCAGTTTTCTAGCTGTGTCCAGCATGTACTGCAAAAAGCACAGCCAAGGAAGCCACAAAAAAGGAAAAGGCAGAACAGAAAAAAAGAAAGGATACAAGGCTAGGCATGGATTGGGCAGGAGGGAAATGCCATGCAGCAGAGACAAAATGGAAAGCCAAAATAGGAAGAAACCAAACAAGTTCAATTGTACAAGTTAACAAATTGAAAAAGCCGAATCAGGAATAGAAGGATACAACAGATGGAGGAGTTAAAAGAAAAAGGAAGAAGGAAAGATGTTTGAATTTGCAAAGGACAAACATACAAGAATAAAAAAAAACAAACCAATGTTAGTTTCACATTAAAAACTTTGAACCATATATAGCAATCCTATATGGCTTTCAAGTGTCTATTGTACCTCTAATAAGACTGGTAATTCCCAGGCGGTTGACAAAGACATTGTCAATGTGCTCACTGCCCGTGAAGAGTTCAGCTATCACATAAAGATTAGGTCTGACTGACCTGGCTGCTGCTAGCATCTCCTATAGATCACAATAAACTTTTTAATTATCTTCATCAAAAGCCCCTTGAAACCTAGGCATATACCATAATATATTAATATGCATGCTAACCATACATAGTTGAGTTCTTAAACAATTTTGTTCAACAAAAATATACTGAATTCAATAAATATACAGTATTTATTGCAAAAAAGCTAGACCCCCATGGTGTGCTTGTGAACATTTACAAGATCTGATATGGTTTTGATAAAGATTTGGAAAGCCTCCTGAATAATTTGAAAACTCTCACAGGATTTTTAGTCAAACTATTTCAAACTTTAGGGTTTTTTTGCTTGTTTTTGTCAATACCTTTTAAACTCAATTGCATGAACAAACATTTGGGAGGAAAGATCTCTGTTTAAGATACAACACCAATACTTAAATTAAGGGTGAGAAAGTTCCCATTCTAGTCCTCTGCACCTTCAAGGACCAAAAGCAGAGAAAATGAGACTTCATATTTCTAAGGCCCAGTCCACAGCTAGAAACTGTACTGATTTAATTTAAATAATTTCTAAACTGATTTAAATCTGTGCAACACCTGTCTGTGGACATTCTGAAATCAGTTTAAGAGGGCCTCATATTAGTTTAGCTTAATTTAATAAGCAACTGCATTAACATCTAAGCATGTCACACAAAGGGGTTGCATCCACTTAACTAAATTGATTTAGAAACTAATTTTGTTATATTGGTGCAGCTGTTTGTGTAGAAGAGTCCTAAGGTAAAAAAAGAAAAAAAAACCAACAAGCAGAACCCTTAAAAATAACCCTTTCAAACTATATTGTTGTAGGTTATACTTTACCAATTGTGAAAGGCTACGATGAAACAGTTTAGGTCGGCAACAAGAGTTTACATTATAGGAAACACTAGCATTTTCAATAATATAGTAACTATGAAAAGTTGCTGAAAACCAATTCATGGTCATTTGCACCCACTGTTGCTGGTGATGTTGCTGAAAAATGACATTTGTGACACTCGGTACTGACTTGATATATCCATGTCTACTCTGGAGAAATGTGCAAAAAAAAATTCTCATCAGTTCTACTGCCATTTCAGCTAAACCAGAGGTAGGCCTGGTCTATGCTAGAAAATTAGTTCAGTGTAACTACGTTGCTCAGGGGTATGAAAAATTCACATTCCTGAGCGGTGCTGATAAGTCAACCTAAAATCCGGACTAGATAGCACTAGGTTGACGAAAGACTTCTTCTGTTGACCTAGCTACTGCCTCTTGGAGGTGGATTAACTACACTGATGGGAGAACCCCTCCAGTTGGTGTAAGCAGAATCTACAGAGAAGTGTTACAGTGTGCCATTGTAGTATTTTAAGAGTAGACATACCCTTATACAAGAGTCTCATGGCTATGCCTTCTTTTATGAGTTCAGTTAAACCTGCTGAAAAGCAGGTCTAATTCAAATGGTGTAACAGCACGTCTAGCTGTAGGAGGCTTGTCTGCACTATGGCTCCCAGGGGGGTGAGAACTGGTTTAACTGAATCAATATTTTGTTTCCCCAAATGCAGAAAAGACTTATAGATCTGCAATTAGTTTCAATCCTGCTTTGATACAGTCATCAGAAAAATAACTATTGTGAAAATATTCATTAACTAGACTTTAATTGGAAAAAAATGCATCTGGGAGAACTAGTTGGATAGTCACTCACACTATGCTTGATCAGACACAGCTTTGGAAAAAAAATATTTTCCATAGTAATCTAAAACAAAATAATTAGATTCAAGTGTCAAAATATTAATTCACTGTGACGTTGTGCAGTCTATATGGTTTTATAAAAACATGATAAGTGAATATAATGTAACTGGAATATGCTTCATGCAAAAGGTCTCTTGTAAGGTATCGTTACAAAGCTTATAATATACTGAGTGTGATCACCCTATTTGTATAAATGTACCACTCTTGTATATAAAACTAGAAATATAATATATAACTGAGGGCCTATTGTAATTATGCAAAGTGTGGGCTATTAATGGTGGTTTGGAATCTTGACTCCCATTAACCAGGACCATTGTCTGCAGATGGCTGTTTTACGTTTGAGTCTTCCTGTATAGGTGTGTGCTGGCAAGTGGGTAATGAAGTCTTGCAGTGACATGTGATGTCACCTGAACTGGAATCCATCTTTAACCTGGTGCTTTTCCAGTGGAGGGGGGGGGTGGAAACCCAGAGGGACAAAGGGTTCCCGCCTTATGCAAAAGATATATAAAGGGGTGGGAACAGAACAAAGTGAAGAGAAGAGCCATCATGAAGAATCCCCTAGCTACCACCTAAGCTGGAACAAGAGCTGTACCAGGGGAAAGAATTGTGCCCAGGCCTGGAAGGTGTCCAGTCTGAGTAAAAAATTTACTGAAGCATCTCTAAGGGTGAGATTATCTGTATTTAGTTTGATTAGACATAGATTTGCGCATTTTATTTTATTTTGCTTGGTAACTTACTTTGTTCTGTCTGTTACTACTTGGAACCACTTAAATCCTACTTTCTGTATTTAATAAAATCACTTTTTACTTAGTAATTAACTCAGTGTGTATTAACACCTGAGGGAGCAAACAACTGTGCATATCTCTCTATCTGTGTTATAGAGGGCGAACAATTTATGAGTTTACTCTGCATAAGCTTTATACAGGGTAAAACGGATTTGGGTTTAGACCCCATTGGGAGTTGGGCATCTGAGTGCTATAGACAAGCACACTTCTGTGAGCTGTTTTCAGGTAAACCTGCAGCTTTGGGGCAGGTAATTCAGACCCTGGGTCTGTGTTGGAGCAGACGGGAGTGTCTGGCTCAGCAAGACAGGGTGCTGGAGTCCTGAGCTGGCAGGGAAAACAGGAATAGAAGTAGTCCTGGCTCATCGGTTGACAGCTCCCAAGGGGGGGGGGGGGTTCTGTGATCCAACCCGTCACATTCACAAAGGACAATACCAGTTACAATAAGTTAGATAGGAGTAGCCTATATTGTTTAAGAGTGATTTTGTCTTGAGGAAAGAAGGCACTCATCAGAAAGTAGAAAAAAATAGATAACCTTCAAGGAATTTCATACCACACCTAAAACAATATTCTCTGACATAAAGCTCTGTGACAGGAGATACAGAGGGTATGGCTCTAAAACACTTGAATCCAGCTAGCACACGTAACAACAACAGTGAAGACAATACAAGCATAGGCTTCAGCACAGGTAGTTCAAGCCTGGCATGGACCCTAGATATGCACTCAGCTCACTAGCCTGTTGTGAAGCCTGTGCTGGCTTTCATTACTATTGTTATCTGCATTACCTGGATTCAAGCTAGCTTGGATAGGCTAATGCATGAGCAATTTTTGCTATGCGGACATACACAGGCTTCCATCACAAACAGCACTGTGAATCTTATTTCACAGACAAAAACAACTTTATGATAAAAATGCCTAGTCTTTCCACACCTCAGCTACATGAAGAGGGGTTGAGTGACAGTTGTCAAGACGTACTCCATGGAAATATTTGGCAGTAATTTCAGTGTATTTTTTCATATGTGCCCACAGATAAGGGCAGTCTTCTGGTTTATTTCCATAGCGCAGTTTGGCACTGTCTCCCCAGCAAATAAGTTCTCTTCTTAGGTAAACATTTGAACCTGTAAAGAAAAGATTCATTTAGCTACAATACACCACTGGTACCACGTGCATACGACACATTGAGTTTATGGCTAGAGAAGTAAAAAAAATTAATATTAAAACAAGATTCCTAACTATACCATATCAACTCCCAAATTATGTACTGTACAGTAAATTACAGCTCCCCATATCAGATTATATTAAAGGTGCATTTAAGATCTCTGATATTTATATAGTTCTATAAACAAACCAATTTGTATTTTAAATCTCAAATAAGGTACAACAATGGTACATTAAATGGAATAAAAGAAAACGGCGCACTGGGCATTAAAATTAATAGCACTTCAAACTCCATGAAAGGTCTCCCTTTCTCTACAATCTTTTCCATATTTTCAGTTATCTACAAAACAATAATTCAAATACTGACAGCAAATATTGACAGCGAACAGGTTCATACTGGCATCTCTGTGTGTAATATAAACAGCCTCAATTTTAAAATTTAATCTATTTTAGCAGCAGTTTCTATTCCTATTAATCTAGGGTTACATTTTGAAAAAGCATCTATGTCACTGAGATGACTTTGAAAATTGTACTCCTAATCTGTTTCATTTATTCACTTATTGCAGTCTTTTAGATGTGATCAGTATAAATTTTAAAATCACAATGTATCTGTAAATGATGCTCCACTCCAACGCAAAACATGAGATTTTCTACTATTTTAACAAGGCACAGCCCTGAAGATTTAATTACCAGTATTTTGTCAGAGTCAGACAAGGAAAAAGGGGTTTATGATCTACTGAAGACATCCAAGAAGGCTACAGAAGCTACTTTGGTATTCAGTATTGGCTGTCAAGTCAGTTGGGTAATTGCTTACAATCATGCACAAGGAACATATTGTTCGTCAAATGCAGAGTCATTTGAAATAAGGAGTTCTGGTGGTCTGATGATTGCTTTCATTCTACAATAACCTCTTCTTATTCTCACTGTTCTACTCAGTTAGCGAAATAACAAATGTTGAGTCATGAACCATAAGGAAAACTTTCTGCACACACTTGAGAAACTAATGCTGCATCACTTCAAACATCTCCTTTTACTATTTCTGTGGTTGTGCCTCATTGTGAATTTTTTCCCTCCAAACATTTCGGTCCTAGCAAGTACCTGTTAACTGCTATCACAGAAAAAGGACAGCTATGACACACTGACAGCCTGCACTGCAGTTACTTGTGCATCACCACACAATGTCTGATCAATGGAAGTGTGAAAGTCATGGGGTTAGTGGCCACTTAAGGCAAACTGGTTTAATGGAGAATACAAAGGATTGTCATATATTGAGACACAAGTATCTTAAAACACCCGGGTGAAATCCTGGAACCCCCAAATTCAATGGTAAAACTCCCATTGATTTCAAATGGGGCCAAGATTTCACCCATTTAGTGAAAACTAGACAATGGGAGACAACTACACTAGCCAAATACGTGTATATTTGCCAACAGGACAGGTCAGCCAACTGAAGAATGAGTAAAAAAGAATTAATTCCACACTGGACAAACATGTATTATCTTCAGCTATGCCTTGACTTTTAAAGAGAATATATACAGAAAAAAAGGAAGTCAATTATTCTGCAACAATTAAGAGCCACATACTGAAAGTGCCTATTGGCAGAGCTCTGACAGGCACTCAGTAAATTTATGAGTCTCACTTTAAGAGTGAACAGTTGCCGTGATGTTGTCCATCAGCTAGATTTACGGAGCTTCCCCACTCCTTCCTTTAGCACTGACATCAATGTTCTCAGTTTAGTCGTTAGCAAAACTTCCAGAGGGGGTAGGGAATAAGAGAATCCAAGATCAGAGACCAGACTGTGCAGGTGAAGATACAGTTTGGTTCCTGAATTGGAATTAAAACTCCATTGCACTAGACAAAAACTTTCACTGCTCTGAGTTTTCTCCAAATAAATTCTCAGATCACCTGTAGCTTTTATTTTAAGACAATTGTGGGGTGGAGGGTACCTTGAAGGCAAAACTGAGGATCTGGCCCTCAAAGTTTGAATGTATTTGAGTTATCTATATAGAAAAATGCAGTCAGAATAAAAAAGTGGGAGGAAATATTATGTTCAGTTCTCCTATCTCAAATGCCAGGAAAGATATGTTTAAACTTAAATTGCATCCCTTCAAGTAGAGACACGAAGCATAGAAAATTTCATTTAAAAAAAGTGAAGGTCTCAGAAAATCACGATCATAACATAAGCCCATTCTTACCTATTCAGAAAGTAAAGTGTTTTGCAGCTTAAACTATAGTAGGTACTACCAGTGTTTGCTATAAACATGGAAAGATAACTTTTCATTCTCTGGGTGCTGTTGACTGTTATCTACATTGAAAGACTTGCTCTCTAAATCCGGACGAATTTTTAGTGTCACTAGCATGCTGAATGGGAACACAAATGCTATATACTGGCACAATTTTAAATTAAAATTTGGAACTGTGTTGAGATAGATCCAGAAAAATGCCCTTTTTGCTTTGTTTATAAAGTGATTTGAAGTTCAGTTCACAAACCTGGTTCAGCAAAGTTTCTCAGAGGATCGTCTCCCATTACCCAACCGTTATGAGCCAAGAAGTGACAAGCTTTATCAGGCTGATGCATCAGAAGTTCTTCTTCTTCCAAGGCCATCTCTTTAAATGGGTAAGTAAAGTATCTAGAGATTGCACAAACACTTATTTTAAAGTGCATTTTAGTTTGTCTTAATTTTTGAAGACAACTGAAATACCTCCTCCCTTATATCAACCAATAAGTTGCATGAAGACCTAGTTTTTATTCATTGTAAAAAGTATCTGCTATTGCTAGAACATAAATGAAGGGCTGTTTTCTGTTTTGCAACATAGCAGGATAACTTGGGATGACAAGATAAACTGCTGAAATGTGATAGTTCACTGATATTTTGAAGACGAAGGCCCATACTTTTAAAAGTATGTAGGTGTTTACAGACAATGGAATTTAGGCTCCTAAATGCCTAACTCTCTTTTGAAAATTAGATTTAGACACCTAAATCAGTTATGGATTGCACCACTGAGCACAGCAATGCCTAAATACCTTTCAAAAATCTGGATTTAAGATCCCAAACCTGCAAACACTCATGCACATCCTTAATTTTATGCATGTAAGTAGTTCAATTTAAGTTTTATTCCATATTCCAAATTATGCTCAATAAGTAGGGATTTTGGGTCATTGTATCCTCTCTACCGTACTGCACTGTACAGCAGTACTGCACTACTTCCACAGTGATGCAAAGATTCTAACAGCACCACACAACGGATCCCCTGCACACCCAATTTCCCTCAGGCTGCACTTCACACCCTTGCAAAGCTCCACTATGCAGCTTATGTTGCAAGGGCAACCTGGTGTAATTTTCCCTGGTCCCCTCAGATGAGCGCTATATGAACATCATGCAAAATCCCTTGGATTTCAATGGAGTCCTGAACACTACACTGTCTTCTATAGAGCCATCTGAGGCCCACTATTTTGGGGGTAGGATTTTACCCACAATTCTTATCAAGTTCAGTCATTGCTAACGAAGTTGCTAACAAAGCATTATCAGTGCTTAGTCTTACTAAGTGACCATTTGTCCATCTGTGTGGGTAAGGGAGGAGGGGAAAGATGGGGAAAGAGCTGCGAAGGCTTACAGTGTAGCTCAGAATGTGAACTACTGGCTTACAAAATTTCATTTTCAAAACAGAAGATTTTAGTCTTAAAATTAGAGTAGCTATGAAGCCAATTACTATAAGTAAGGCATTCGATGTGGTTATGATAAGAAGGTGAGGTTTAGTTTTACTGAATTTTGCATTCACCTCACCAGAGATGGTCTCTCCTCCATAAGTGCAACTTGCACAAGCAGTTTACAAAAGAAACACTAACCCTTGCTGAAATAAAGCTGAAGTTTCAAATTCATACTTCCTCAATTAAAATAAGTTCCACATAGTTTGGTTTCTAAGATATAAGGCCTGATTCTTCTCTTCTTACACAGTTGTTACTCCATTGACCTAAGGGGAGTTACTCCTAACTTATATCAGTGTAAAGGTCAAATCCTGCAAGGTGTTCAGCAGGACTGCTGAAGTTCATGACAGCGATCAGTTCCATGTAGGACCTGGCCTTAAAGATGATCAGAGTCAGGCCGACAATATCGTATGTAACATCAAATCTAGAAGTTCTAGTCAATCGAAGAAAGTAGAAAAATTTTTAAATGGGTTTTTGAGAGGAAGACAAAGACATAATACCTGGTAACTAAAGGGTATTTCCTACTAATAGAACCATGTTTAGGACCATGGTCAGCCAGTCTCTCATAAACCACAGTCTCCAGAAGACAAGTGACTGCCTGGAAGTACATTAAATTAAGTGTTATTTCAATAAAATATAATAAATTATTATTTATAATAGAAAGCAAGAATTCAACATTTAAGTGCAACATTAATAAGACCTGTTCTTGATGGTAGGCAGTTTGCTGCAACTGCTCAGCATTTAATTCTTCAATTTTCTTTTGGAACCAGTTACAGCATTCTTCTATTGCAGCTGGCCCATTGCTAAACAAGAGAAAAACAGCAATTAAAAGCCATTAGGTTCAGATATCACTATACACCTGTCTAAAGCTCCTAAATTTTAAAAATACATATATTTATAATCAAAGGTAACTCAAATATTGATGAATGAAAATTCTAATTCCCTCCCCCATCCAGAGCATATCATCATACTAGATTTTTCAGTTTAAAGTTAAGGTTCACTTTCTCTTGTACAAACCCAATATTACAGTACCTATGTGGTATGAATGTTGCCAATGCGATATTCATGTCTACAGTACAGCCAAGTCGCTTATATTCAGGATCCTGAATTATTTGAAGATGTTGGTTTGGATCAGATTTAGTTTGCCTGTTACCTGAAGAAAAAAATTGAAAACAAAATGTTGTAGAGTGGAAGTTTACAACACACAGAATAAATCTTAAACAAAGAATACAGTTTTTGCTGTTCCAGTTTACCTAGAAACTGAAATATAGACAATAAGGGAGAAAAACCAGGTCTACTGAAGTTAATTGCAAAAACACGTATTGACTTCAGTAGGGTCAGGATTTCAGCTCAATTCTTAGACAAAGTAGTCTTTAAAGTACTTGTCAATTGTGAATATTGATGAAAGATACAAAAATAAGTTTGTCAGAATTGATAGTGTTCAAGATGAATACATGCTCAGATGCAAACCAAACAGAAAACCAACACCAAAAAAAGCCTCCCCCACACATCAACAAAACCAAAACCCACTATACTCTGTGGGTTTCTTGCAATACTGTCCACTAACTACTACTAACCTGTCTCATATGTTGTACTATTTTAGATAGTCTCCATATTACAATACAAATATTTCAGAAGAATTATATATATCTAATTTTCCATGCTATAGCATGAATTAAATTGTGGAAAACACACACACGTATGTTTTCAATTCCTACTTTCTTCTACCAAAGCTTTTTTGTAGATGAATGAGCTGGCAAACTATTGCCTTCAACACATCGTCTAAGTTAAGACTTCCCACGTTGTTTTTTTCCTCCCCACCCCACTGTGTTTATCGTTTACATACAAGGTTTGCCCAACAGCAGATAAACATAACACACTGAAGTATAAGTAATCCTTATGTGTAACAGGCATGTTTTTACCTTGAGTCAGAAGGGTTTTAAATTGCTGCACAGCTTTGTTAACATCTACTTGGAAAAATTCCCATAGTTTTATCTTGGGATAAATATCCTCCCAAATTATTTTACGGATACACTGTAAAAAAAAAAAAAAAAAAAAAAAAAAAAAAAAAAAAAAAAAAAAAAAACAAACCACAAAAAAAAAAAAAAAAAAAAAAAAAAAAAAAAAAAAAAAAAAAAAAAAGTTACTTTTACAATACGCAAGTCCTATAAAACTATTAAATGTTGCAATTAAAAAAATAAGCTCTTCAGGGCAGGAACTGTCTTCCTATAGGTTTGAAAAACATCAGCACATTTTAAGCACTACCACAATATAAAGAACTAAACATTTCTTCATCCAGTTACATTGTTTATTGTTATTACAAAGTAAAATGCTATATTTCTCATTTACTTACATTCAGGTGATGGTCATTTTCAATTGAAGGAGGCAGCCCCTTATCTCTGTATTTCCCTTCAGCCACACTACAGCTTAAATGCCAGAGAGCCCTGTCTAATATCCAGGCTGGTTTCAGGTGGGGAGAATTTACAAGATTATAACCACATTCTGGATGCACCCTAATCCATTCGCTGTTAGCAGCTTATTTAAGAAGAGGAGAAAAAAATAATTAAACAAGATGAATTATTTAACTGTTTCATACAAACATCTTAGGACCAAAACTTTAGGATAGCACAGGAGGTAAAATCAGTTCCTTTCCCAATTGAAGGTTTGACTTCAGTTAATGCAGAATCAGGCCATGTGAAAGCTTGCATTCCACTAACATCTTTGATAGGACTATAAAAAGTCAGTAGACAAACAGGTACCACTTCTAGTATAGCAGAGAGAATTTTACACTTTTTGTTGCAAAATAACACACACTGGTTGCTGGGCATTATTTCTCTCAGAATAGCCCCCTTGATATGTTTAAGATCAAGAATATCATTTCTCCCCAAGTACGGTGCTAAAAATGGCCTAAAGACACAAGATGTTCCAAAGAAACAGAACCTTTAGAGTAGTGATTTGGATGCCTGGGAGGATAGAGGAAAGGTGAACCCAGAGTGGAGGATGTATATATGACCCTATGCTGTAAATAAACTTATCAGGCCACTGGACTAGATGGGGTGATGGGAAGGGAGGCAAATCATAAATCTTCATTACAGAACACTGCTACAGAGTAATAAGCACATCCTTCCCTCTGGTGCATGCAGCAAGCTGAATGACAGTTCAAGTAAGACTCCTTCATCACCACTCCTGTTTTCTAAGACAAAGCTATGCAGTAGCATTCTGTGGCAGCATAGAGAAAAACACTGATTTTTCTTTTAAATAAAATTAAAAATGAACAATACAGAAATCAAGGAGTCCTTATCACAGAATTTGAGTGCAACCCACTGCAGTATACACAGGGCTACGCCTGTAGTAACAGTGGGTACACTTAAAGGATGGAAGAGATTATAAGTCACTGGGGGAATATGGAAGAGGAGAAAAGAAAGCATCTAATTCCCATTTCTTCATTTCTCTTTCCTCATGGAAAAGTCTTAGACACAGCTTCATAGAAAATGATTATTTTCATGGGATCTTTTGAACTAGTCTATGTAATTTAATAGAGCATTATAATTGCTATAGAATGGCTCAACAACCAAACAAAAATCATCACTATTAAATTCTACAGGGTTTTTCTGGGAGCAATTTCATTCAACATTATTGGTTTCACCTCTGTATAATTCTTACAGGACTTTTAGATGTGGGTTTTCTTAGCACTGAATTGTTTTAGTAGAGTCATGGGAGACTGAAGTAAATCAAATGTGGTACCTAACTCAAAGAAAGAGGAAAAAGGAATGGTGTCAGTTACTATCCAGAAGTAATTTTCTAACCTTGGTAAACAAGTGGAATAAATATTAAGGAAGAGTCAAAATCCCCTACATCATAATGGAACCACAAACATGGGCTGATTAATAAAAATTACTAACTGTTTTTGAGGATTTGTTGGGGTTTTTTGGGGGGGAGGTGACCTTGCACCCCATAATGCTTTATAGAAATACGCTTCTGAGTGTAAATATGACATAACTGGAATATGTTTTATGCTAGATATGCCATGTAACATATCTTTGCAAAGGTTAGGATCTACTGAATATATTCATCCTATTTGTATGCATGTATCATTTTTATATTTGAAGTTATGAATATTGGCTATGTATTTGTTTACTTCTAAGTAGCCTCAGTGAAGCATTTGGTCAGCTTCTTGAGAAAGGACTATTCTCAGTAAGTGCCCAGTCAAGAAACACTTAACTGACAATGGACTTTGGGAGACGCCAATCCACATCTGAGTTTTCCTGGGAACTTCAAACTAACATGTAAACAATGATTCAGCTTTTTGCAGGCCGACACCATTCATACACATGTGATTTGCCCAGGTGGCTACAGACTCCATCCTGTTACTGTGATTTAGCACAGGAGAACAAAGGGGTTTCCACCCACAAGAGATAGAATATAAAAGGCCCTGGAAACCCCTCCATTTTGTCTTCAGCTGGCTCTCCACTCCAAAGAGATGCTTGAAAGAAACTGGAACAAAAGACAGTAACTACGGGGGGGGGGGGGGGGGAGATGAGTGATTGCTGGACCCAGACTAGGAAGGAGTCTAGTCTGTGAAAGAAGCTTATTGGAACATCTGAGGGTGAGATTTACCCGCATTTAGTTTCCTACTGTATTAGGCGTAGACTTGCGTTTTTTGTTTTATTTTCCTTGGTAATTTACTTTGTTGTATCTGTTATTACTTGGAACCACTTAAATCCTACTTTTTATACTTAACATCACCTTTTGCTTATTAATTAACCCAGAGCAAGTAATTAATACCTGGGGGAGCAAACAGCTGTGCATCTCTCTCTACCAGTGTTATAGAGGGCAAACAATTTATGAGTTTACCCTGTATAAGCTTTATACAGAGTAAAATGGATTTATTTGGGGTTTGGATCCCATTGGGAACTGGGTGTCTGGGTGCTAGAGGCAGGAGCACTTCTTAAGCTGTTTTAAGTTAAGTCTGCAGCTTTTGGGGGGGACGTGGTTCAGACCTAGGTCCATGTTTGCAGCAGGCTAGCATGTCTGGCTCAACAAGACAGGGTACTGAAGTCCCAAGCTGCCAGGGAAAATGGGCTCAAAGATAGTCTCAACATATCAGGTGGCAGTCCCAAGGGGGTTTCTGTGACCGAACCCGTCACAGGGGGTTGGTTTCTTTTTTATATCAAAGGAAAAGAAACAGAACTACTGCTGACCCTATAGTATGTATAGTTCTTTCTTGTTCAAAGTGACCTCTACCATTTCATCTCAATATCATTTAGAACTTGGCATTGACTATTTGACCTTTATAAATATGGAACTCTGCCATCCACAACTAAAAGCAGCCTGCTCACTTGAAAGTACCACAAAGCAACATTACCTCGGGCCTTTAAAAACTTCACTTGTAAATATTTTATTCGGGGTTTTATTCAACATACATACTACCTCAGACATCTGTATGAAAAATATTTTTTCTTTAAAAAGCAAAGTTATCCTATTCTGCATAGATGAGCAAAAAGCATGATAGATGCTTCTAAGAAAGACTTCTCCTTTTGCCTCAGAAATGGTTGATTCTTTCCAACAAAATATAAGGCAGCAAAAGGACAACTTTTCACTTGATTCTGAGAAACTGCCTTTCTAGCCTACAGAGGGGAAATGAAAACATTTCTAACCATTGCGATAAAGGAATTGCTTTGAAGATTAATCCTCTCAATAATTGGAATTTAGTGAGAGAAACTTATTTCTAGAGGAACACTAGACACACAGCATTATGCTTGACAAACTATTCTTGTTTTGTGAAATGAAATAGACGGGAAAAATATATGTATATCTGATTAGAGAAATTCACAGATGTAGTAGTATATTCACCATAATATAAACTTCATTTAAAAAAAAGAAAGGAAGAAAAGAAAAGAGGAAGGAAGGAAGAAGTTTATTAGCCCATTTTGTTGTGAAGATTAGTTTCAGAACTGAAATTAATGCAATGTTGTCTTTTTGAGTGTGAAGCCAGATGCACAAACAATAGCACTCAGACTTTTCCCTTTCATCTCAAATAAGCGTTGACTCTGATGACTAGTTTGATTTACCACAAAAATTTAAGTGCTACTGAAGACATTCTGGCTATAGGGAAATGGGAAACATTTCCCTAAACTGCAATGCACATACACGCTAGGCAGAGAAAGAAGACAGAATTGATAAACAGGGCTGGTAGCTACAGAATGGTGCAGGAGAACTGTGGTTACAGCTGTTAAAATATAAAATTCTCATCTGGTGTTGTGAGGACATTATAAGGCCCCAGTCCTGCAAACACACAAGTTACACACATGCATGAGAAGTTGTAGAATCAGGGCCCAAATTTTTAATCTATATTTTTAAAAAAAGCTTATTGTGGCAAGAATACTAGACTAGGCCAGTAGCGTTTGTTGTGTGCGAGGATAGCTAGCTCAAAAGAAATAAACTGCAAGTTTTGTTTGCTTTACACAGAGCTGCATTTCATTTAAAGAAAATGATTATGACACTAACATGTTTAACCATTTTATTGCTGATCCTGTTATCAGACATTCAATTATTTAAGAGTACTGCATGGAACTAAGCCTGCTTTTTTTGAATATGCAAACAGCTAAATAGTCTATCAAATTATTTTAATTAGTCAAATAATTATTAAGAAGCTTCCTAAAAGAGGCTTAGAATTAAAATATTCCAACTGAAATCTTTTTCACCAACTTATATAAAAAAAGAATGACCACCAATATTAGTTTATCAGCAGCAAACAAAATAAAATCATGGAACCTTTTAAAATGCATGTATATCTAACCAAGCAAAGTTTTTAATGGCTGAGAAGATATGATCTATTTTTGCACTATTATGTGGAATAATTAGACTTCATAATTATTGGATACAAAATTGATCCTGTTACTAATGTCGAGATCATATTCTTTGAACGTGTCTTCTTTTCAAAGTATTATATGGACCTGTTCCATACCTTCTCTCACCATCACCCCCCATTCACCCCCACTTCTGCTTTTCTTTCTTCCTCCCTCTGATAATAGTATCCTAAAGTTGTTGTGGTTTTTTTTTTAAACAGTGAAGAACATTACACTTGTTAAACAGTGTAATCCAGTGAATTTATGCCTGAACAATTCCCTGCGGTATGTATATATATACACATATACATCCACACACACACACACACACACACACAGTTAGTATTATGAAGACATAGACATGCATATTGGTGTTCTAGAGATAGAAACAACGTATGAGGATCTCCTTAGATTTTTAATGCTTTAAGCACCGAAAAAGAATTCTCATTTTGCCATTTTAATAGACACAACTCTCCCTGACAGACACAAGAGATGCCCTAGACTTAAGGGGTTCAGAAGGCAGATAAAGAACAAGTTCCTTAAAAAGCCTTTTAAAAGGTCTATTCAAGGGAAAAAATCATGGAATAGTGGAATAACCAGATTAGCTTTGACCGTGTTACTGAGTTGGCAATAAAAAGCACCAAGATAGTATAACAAAAATCATACCAGTATGATTGTAGACTACATCTGTTATACAAAGCATATTCCATTCATTTTTCATTTTTTCCACTAGGTTTCCTATATTGCTCCAAGTACACTTTTTATTTGGGCTTGAAAAGTCAGGATTTACTTCTAACTGATCAGCCAGAGAGTAGCATGATCTAGATAATCCAAGTTTTTGCAATGGCGTAAAATGAATCATGTTGTAACCTACAAAAATGACAAGGAAACTATTTGTTAATACAAGAAAAACGTTACAATGAAGATGAGGAAATTCTATGATAAACTGTATAATCATAGTATGTACTGAAAACAAAACTTTTCACGTAACTAAGAAAAGTTTTAGGGCAGGGGGGGGAGCGGGGGCAAACTACGGCCCGTGAGCCACATCCGGCCCGGCCTCCGAGCCCCTGGCCTGGGAGGCTCGGCCCGGCCCCTCCCCCGCTGTCCCCCCTCGCCCGCAGCCTCAGCTCGCTCGCTCCGTCGCAATGCTCTGGGTGGCGGGGCTGTGAGCTCCTGGGGCAGCGCAGCTGCGGAGCCCGGCCTGACCCTCTGTGTTGCGTGGTGGCAGCGGGCAGCGCGGCTGTAGTGCTGCCAGCCACCGGTGCTCCAGGCAGTGCGGTAAGGGGGTGGGGTGGGGGGTTGGATAGAGGGCAGGGGAGTTCGGGGTGGTGGTCAGGGGGCAGGGGTGTGGATGGTGGTCAGGGGGAAACAGGGTGTTGAATGGGGGTATGGGTCCCGGGGGCCAGTCAGGAAGGATGGGGGGTTGATGGGGCAGCAGGGGGCAGTCGGGGCAGGGGTTCTGGGGGCAGGCCATCAGGAATGAGAGGAGGGGTTGGATGGGGCGGCGGGAGTCTGGGGGCAGTCAGAGGACAGGGAGCGGGGTGTGTGTGGATTGGGCAGGGGTTCCAGAGGGGCTGTCAGGGAACGGGGGGGTTGGACGGGGCAGATAGGAGTTGGGGGCCGGGCCATGACCCCCTCCCTTAACCGGCCCTCCATACAATTTAAGAAACCCGATGCGGCCCTCAGGCCAAAACGTTTGCCCGCCCCTGTTTTAAGGTAAGATTTAAACCACTCTTCCCAGCTGAGATTTATCCCCACCTCCTGTCCACCATTCCAATCAATTCTACCAACTTCACATCTATGTGAAACAAATCAAACAAACAATCTAAAAATTTAGATCACGTTTTTAAAGGAATTCCCAAATACTTGTCTTTCAAAGCAAATATTTTAGTAAATCAGACTGGTTTGCGCTATTATATGTTTAACATTGAATTCAGTTTCATAACTATTTTCATAACTTAAACTGCAAACTACAAAAAGATATATGAACTGTGTAACAGATACTGGTAGAACATAAACAGTATAAATATAAGCTGTATCCCTTAAAAATTACCTTTACAGAGTATGTGGTTATTACCTGATTCTTTTGCAACTTTAAGACGATCTTCCCATTCCTCAAATGGTCCCAGACACTTAGCTAGGAATGTCTGGAGTGTAACACAGTCCAAATGCAATACTTGATTATCAGCTCCAACACGCAAAATAGGGTCCACAACTATGTAACCTCCACCACTTTTCTCATTTCTAAAATAAATTGAGTCTATTAAACACTGGAAAAGCAAATGCCCATTGCACCAGCCATTTCTAACACCAGAAGCCAATCCACAATCTGGTAGTTTAAAGTCATCCCATCTTAGCCACAAAACAGTTACCAATCTTTCAAACTCAGAGTAGTTCCCACCATTTCCCCAATTTATGGATGCATTTAGACTCAAAATGTACTTCATGTTCTGCCTCTGAAATTTACAACAAGGCCTTTTTCTGGAGAAAGAACATACAAAAGACCTCAGTCCTGCAGTTGGATCCATGCAAGACCTTTAGGACTGTTTGAAGTCCTATGGATTTCAATGTGGCTTTGTGAATATATGACAATCAGCCTGCATGGATTAGATTGGGGTCAAAAACAGTGACTGAACCTATGAGGTGCCAAGTATTCTTAACCCCTTCCCCCATTCCTCTACTCAGCAACTTTTTAATAGAATGAATACGAGTATTCTCAAAACATGATTAGAGGAAATATAGCCGATGGTGAAAAATTATAAACAGGGATCAATTTTTCCTCTGATTTCTGGTCCAGGCTGAGAACCTGGAAGATTCTGATGGTCCCGATCAGCCACAATGGTCCCAAAGCTATCAGCTCTTAAACAATGGTAATAGGTGAGGTACAATACACTACAGATTGATTGATTGCATTAGATTTTATAAAAAAACCTGAATTCTGATTACCATCTTACTTTTAGTCTTACACTGTCTCAAGACCTCAAAAAAAAAATCACTGAAGTTAGAGATGAATGGGTTAACGTTGCATAGGTTTTGAACATAATGATTTCTAGCTCTGGTAGCAGCTATAGGTCAGAACTGAGTGGAACAAAACCTGAAGATATGCAAGAAAGACTACTTATTTTAATGTCTGATCTCTCACAACCTTCCAAGTCTATTAATTAATTATTTGTACCATTAGAATGCTGACTTTGAAACCTTGCAGGCATGGATTGCCTTTCCAAAATTCATAAACAAATAGATGATTAAATTTGTTCCGAGTACTCCCCAAAACACTGCAACATCAAAAACTTGCATCCTTTGTGGGCAGTCCTCTGCAGAAGCCAATGACTGCACTGATATGGAAACTGAATTATCCTCTTACACCTCATAGTTCTCCTAGGTCAAGACTGAGATACATGGAGTAGTGAGGGGAAGACTGCAGTTTTTCATATGTAAAAAGCTCCACTTACTCATGACTGAAATAATACTGGTATGATCCAGAAATTTGGAGATCCAGTTTACAGTATTTGTCAGAATCATCTTCTTTTCCTGTTGGGTTGTGCCATGACAGTGCCCTGAACTTGCGGCGATAGAATAATTCTCCAGAAGCTGGGTAATTAGTGTACACTGTAACATGCTTGCCTTGTAATGTTGGGCCCAGTCGGAACTGCAGTTCAAAACCTCAACAGAAAAGAGAATGGGTTTAAAAAAAATCTCATTTATTATTAAAATTAAAGACTAAATCTTTTGGTTTACTATTGTGATTCACAATATGAAGATTTTAAGTTAATAGATGGGTACCATAATTCTAAATAGGTGTATTGGGTGTAAACTTAAGAGAATGTTTTTATTTTACTGCCATTTCTCATCAACAGATAATGATGCTGTAATAATTATTTCTGCTTCTCTGCTGGTGTTACCATTCAAAACCAACCAGAACCTTGAAATGGGAAACTAATTATCCCGCTTCAGAGCACTTTATTTCTATTTCTGCTCAAATACAATACAGTAACAAAAAAATGCCTGGGAAAAGTTATTTATTACAGTTTTGGAAGAACTGTGAGGTGACAGGAGTACTACAATCTAAACAGTCACCTCATTTTAATACATAATATAGAGAGATGCGGTACACACATTTTTTATTTAATTTAAATGTCAACTTAAAGCCCATATTTTACCTATTTTTGTTACGTGTAACACCCAACATTACTATAATTGACATGAAAAACAAAGTGAAGGAAAAAAGCTATTTTTCTCTAGTCTGTTTCTCTTTGTGCACTTGAAAGCATTTTCTGTCTTGTCAGTTTCTCATATTTATGTGAATCTTTCACATAACAGAGAAAGAAAATAATTCTTAAATATAAAAGCACAACAGGAAAATATGACTCTCAAACCACATATACTGGCACAGGAACTTGGGAATACGTAGCACCTGAATTTAGTTTTTACCTTTTTTTTTTTTTTTTTTTTTAAACTGACAAGGTTCTAAGTTGACACTCATTCTTTAAATTTAACTGAACTGGGAAAATAGGTATTTGTGAAAAGTAGAAGACCAAACTTGAAAATGAAAATATTTTAGATATTTTTACATTTCATGGAATATTCAACTAAACAAATCCAAAAACCTTTACATTTTTTGAAAATATAAATGAAGTTACAGACCAAGGCCCCACTCTTGCAATTTACAGCTATACTTGTATGGAGCCCCACTGACTTCCATGGGACTCTTCTTGGGTGCAACAGCTCATCCACAAATTGTAAATTGCAAGATTGAAGCCTTAATACCCTAAAATGAAAACATTTGTCCCCAATTCTATAATCTAATCCACTTGTTCACATGGAATTTCATTTAAGCCAACAGGTCTCAGTGCATGTGTGTGCCTGAATGAATCGGACTGTAGTATCATGGCCTTAAAAGCCTGGTCTGCTCACATGAGTAAAACTTGACAAATGCACTTGCAAGGCAGCAACCATTACTGATTGAGGCCTCAACCTTGCAACTGACTACACCCACATACAGCCATGCAACCCTGCAGGGCCATAGTGACTTCAACGGACAGTCAATTGCAGGACCAGGATCTTAGAATCCATGACTTTTTTAAAAGAGTGCTTTTTTATTCATTCTTCAGTTAAAAAGCAAAATACTCTTGGCTATCTTGTCTTCCTGGTAAGAAAGTTCTACATGTAGTCTAAAGAACAGGTAAACCAATCATGTATTAGAAAAAGAGTTTAAAATTGTGCTGTAACATGTAAAAAAGTTTAACAACTGAATCACACTATCCTGATTAAATAAAAAAGTTGCTCAACAAATGGAATTGTGCCAGCACAACCAAATATCAGAGTCCAGCTATCCAAGTACATGTAAATAGCCCATGCCAATGAAGTTTACAGTACATTACATACCCTATCATCCACTAAACATAAAAAAAAGAGGGGGGAAAAAATACCCTCCAAACACATAATACACCTCTACCCCTATATAACGCTGTCCTTGGGAGCCAAAAAGTCTTACCGCATTATAGGTGAAACCGCGTTATATCGAACTTGCTTTGATCCGCCGGAGTGCACAGCCCCGCCCCGCCCACTCCCCCCCCGGAGAGCTGCTTTACCACTTTATATCCGAATTCGTGTTATATCGGGTCACGTTATATTGGGGTAGAGGTGTAGTTTCAGGATTTGGGTGCCTATCAACTAAAAACATAGCTAACTTGGTTGCAAAAATTGTACACAAAAATCACTCTTGGGGCTTGTCTACATTGGCATTTTACGGTGCTGCAACTTTCTTGCTCAAGGGTGTGAAAAAACACCCCCGAGTGCTGCAAGTTTCAGCGCTGTAAAGTGCCAGTGTAGACAGTGCACCTGCGCTAGAAGCCGCGCTCCCAGCACTGGTAGCTGTTCCTCTCGTGGAGGTGGTGCGACTACACAAGGCACATTAAAGAGCTGCCGCAGCAGCGCTTTAACATTGCTAGTGAAGATGTGCCCTCAGAAAGTTCAGGCAATTTCTCGTCAAGACTATAGTGAGATTTCCTTATTGAGTCTGCTAAAATTAGATCAGGCTACAGGGTTATAGGCCTTAGATATCTTACTCCCTATAGTAACAGTACTGATACCAGGAATGCTTTGCCTAAATTAGCTACTCTCTCCCTCAACTAGCTATCAACGTAGGCAATTTGAAATGTATGGCTTTCAAATCTTCAGCGGCCTCCAAACAAAGCTTACATAGCCTGAAGAAAAGTTAATAAGGAGGTCAGAACAGACTCTGCACTTTGTTCATTAATGATAAAAGTTTCTGGTAAATTCACATACTAATCATTCAGCAAATTCTGAAATCTAAGTATTTAAGCAGACTTCTAGTTTTATAGAAGGGTAAAAAAAAGTTGTGCTGTTCTGAAAGTATTTTGAAAGTATGGTAAATTCATAAATCAACCATTCTTGGACAATATTTTTTAAATCTTCCTGGTGAAAGTTAAAACTTTTACTGCTGCCCCTTTAAAAAAAAAGCAGTATGCAAGAAAGAATAAAGATATCAGATAACATTTTCATCTTAAACAGTTCATTGGCTGAGATTGCTGACCAAGATGATACTGGGCCAAATATACCTTTCACTAACAGGTTGATGGGTATACTTAAAAATAAAAATAATTCCAAGTACTTACTAACATGAGAAATCATTGCAAATTACAGCATTGCTGTAATGAATTTAGTACATAAACATGTCTTTCCAAATCTTACCAGTGACCCAAAAGAGGATTGAAGACAAATATAATTCATACCCCTACAACTAAGACATGGGATTTGTACATAATAGATTTAGTACTGCACAAAAAAAGTTGGATTATGAAAACTTTTATAAATAGCAAAGACAGGGACTGAAGTAGTGATGGATATGGGAGTGCTATAATTATACCATCCTTCAGGTGCAGTCTGAAACTAGGCTCATATTTAATTGGAATAGTGATTTTGCTATTTTTTTTTAATACAATTTGCCTTTCAGCCTGAAAGTGTTTTACAACCCACACTGACAGGGTGACCAGACAGCAAGTGTGAAAAATCGGGACGGGGGTGGGGGGTAATAGGAGCCTATATAAGAAAAAGCCCCAAATATCGGGACTGTTTCTATAAAATAGGGACAGCTAGTCACCCACTGATCCATGATTGTGGTCTCTAAAGCTATCACCATACAAACAATCAACACCATACAAAGAGCACTACAGTGCCAGAGGACAGCAACTAACCTGAACACAGTGCGAGTGTGTCAGAGAGCTGATGGGGGAGGGAAAAACTCCAGCTCTCCACCATCATTTTCATTAATGAATGTCAATGCTGGCTTACCTAAGAGCTGCCTAGACTCTCCGTTCGGTTACTAACGGGCGCTGCGCACAGCAGAGCCGTTACATGTCAGCACTGACCTTGCTCAAGCCTGAAGAGGGTCTTCTCCCGCTTTTCCATGGCGTTCAGCAGCAAAACTCGAGTCTGGTTACTGGGGGGCATTTTTGCTGCCCGGTGACTTAGCCTCTTTCAAGGGGGGACACTTAATGTCGGAAATACAGGAGCGATCCCTACAAAAACAAACAGCCCCCCCCAAGTCAACAGCCACGAAAGCAGGAAGGAGTCCCAGCCCCGCGGCAGCCAGACTTACATCGCCCAGCCTGCAGAGCGCCCGGGGAGAAGCGCGGAGGGAGGCAGCCCCTGGGCAGGGGGGTGAGGGAGGCAGCCCCGGGAGCTGGGGGGTCCAGTCCCGGCGCGCAGGGCCGAGCCGCAGGCAGAGAGCGGCGGCCGGGGTCGCGCTGCAGCGCAGGTGGAGGGGCTGCGCCTGTCAGTCTCGCTGTGCAATGCGCCCTCGGCCGGGGCGCGCAGGGGGCGGGGGAGTCGCCTGGCAGCGCGTCCCACCCCAGGGGCTATATAAAGAGCTGCCGGCGCGGGGCTACTCACGGGCGGCTCCTCCGCGCCGAGCACCGCACCGGCTGCGAGCACTAGGGGCCTCCGCCTGCCACAGGCCGGGCGGCTCCTCACCTCACCGGCACGCACCGCCCAGGCCCTGCCGCCTCGCAACAACTTAATTGGTTCTGCGGCGGCCAGACACTGACGGGGCGGGGGGGCGGGGGGCGGCGGAGCTCCCGCGAGAGGAGCGGCTGATGGTAGCCGGAGGGAAGAGAGGGGGTTGCACGGGGCAGGAGCGCTGCTGAGAGATGGGATTTGAAATGGATAATTTTAAATGCTGTGCAGCTAGCTACTGTATTCATTTAAAAACAGACGCCTGTGGGTGAACTATCTCCGCCTAGCACGTCGGGAGGGAGAGCTGACAGGGCAAGCTAGGGCGCAGCAGCTTCCGCTCACTCCTATAGGAGAAGTTACCCCAACCCTACAGTTTTAATCATCTGTCTGCCCGCCCCAGCAGCTGTACCCATTCCACAGTTCTGTCTTCTTCCACCGCGTGTAATTCACTCTAAGGTCCCTGGACACGAAAAGCTTTCAGAGATGGGGGGGAGGTAGTGTTACTATTAATCAGTTTTTCTAACGGATACTTGCTACTAACTGTGCCAATGAATTTAACATGGTGTAGGTGTATGCATATTATACAAATTAAAGCACCCCCCATTATATTCTGGTAATATAATCTGTCCTTAATAGCAAAATGGACACAAATTTAAATTGACAAGTTTTTTTAAACCTGTTTCAAAACCACATCACACAGAGTTGTCTCTTACTAAAGGCCTAATCATTTAATGTTCTGTACACCACCAAATTCTCCACAAGCTCTTTCAGCAGAAAAAGGGACAGCATACAGTACACACAGATAAGGTGACAGTGGACAGAAGCTGTGGTAAATAGGCACACTGCTTCATGCTTCCAGGGGACAAAATCATCCATAGGTTCCAGTTCTTCTGCTATACTCTATAGTAAAAAGGTGATGTCAGCTGGTGTATACACCACCAGCAGATAAGATTAAAGTATAAGGATCTATACTGAGCCAGAATGTAAGGAAGGAAAGAAACCTTAAATGTCTACTACATGTACAATACATAATTTTGCTTTTGTAAACTGCACAACTTCTGTGAAGGCATTTTCATGGTTTTCTGAAGAATACTGTAATCTGAAATATGGTCACCTAGCCTCTCTGATCACTGCCTTAGCAGCTTAATATTGCAACAAAATAGTCAGAACAGTTGCTACGAGCATCTCACCACTGATCTATCATTAACTGACACCACCAGAAAGGTCAATCTTGCAGCTAGGGAAGGTCAGTCTATTTTCATTACTGAGGACTATAAAAACACACTTCTCAATTTACAGTCACTGTCTGACTGTTTAGTGCTTTTTATGTTTGCACAGGCAGCATGTTGCTGAGTGAAATGAGTAATAAGTAAAAAGCTAGTCAGAAGAGAAAATGGAGATAATTGTTGAAAGGTTTCTTCCTCTTCTTCTACAGAGACTGTGTACCTCACAGAGCACACAAAGCAGCAGAGCAAGCAACTGTTCTTGTAGTAATTAAAGCAGTTAGAGTGGTGTCTGAATGCTTTCACCACTACAGGAAAGTAAAGGTTTGTGTGTTGGGAGTAGGGTGACCAGACAAATGTGAAAAATTGGGATGGGGGGCGGTAATAGGAGCCTATATAAGAAAAGAGACCCAAAAGTCAGGACTGTCCCTATAAAATTAGGACATCTGGTCACCCTAGTTGGGAGATGTGAATGAATTCTAAAAAGTGTAAATAAGCATATTTTTAATTCCATTGTTCAAATGTTTATTTTTGTAACAAGCTAAAAAGACTAGTATCCTATTAAGTTAAAATAATATATTACTCTCCTAAAGATCACCAAGATGACTCCTAACTTTATATACCAGGTTTAATATTTTTTAAAAAAATTAAGCTTTCAAATTTATGAATTTTAAAGATTTTATTCTCTATAAAACCACCATTAGAACAACTTTTTTCCATACATAAGCACCCCCAAAAGAGCAGAAGGAAATCATACAAGATTATAGGAGAAATATTTTGAATCCTAAAGAGGATTAGGACATAAGCAGGTAACATTTCAATACTTTTTTCAAATTGAAAAAAAAGTCAGTAATACAGCATCTGGAAAGATATACTGATCGAGAAGCTACCCTGTTCATCTAGCACATGTTCAGTGAATGATAGAAGGCAAAGCAGCTAGCCATTACTGGACATACAGCAAAAGTCCTTGTGGGTCTGATTCTGCAAAATACCAAGCATCTTCTGAAAGGTGATGACCAGCCTCAAATTCCAAAATCCATTTTGCAGGATTGGCCCTATAGTCCACATCTGTAATACATTTAAAATAAAATCCAAATATAAAAGTGTGAAGTTACTTAATGCAAGATTCCAGTGCTTGTAATCTTACATGAATACTGAACCAGATTCTTCCCTTGGGTACACCTTTTCGCACATTAGAAGTCAACAGGAATTGCTGGGGAAGATTTTTCCAAGCCTGTACAGGGTTTAGGACTATAAATCTTGACCTGTCTTGGACATCAACTGGTGCATGTCTAATAGTCAGCTCAAGCTCAATGTGGCTAAAACAGTGCTCACAAGAAAAAAAAAAAAAAAGATACACATACACACACCCCTCCCCCCCACAACCTCCCTGCTACCTCAACATGAGCATCATGATGGACACTCAGGCCCATAACCTGGGTGTCATCATTGGCACAGACCTCTCTGCAAGTTCTCATATCCAGGTTATGTCTAAATCATGCAGATTCTTTTTGCATTGCATCTATAAGAGAAGGTCTTTCCTATCCATCTACACAGCTAACACTCTTGTTGCAGTAATCAAGACACAAGCTGAGAGCCTGGACATCTCTCTGGCCTTGACAAATATAATCTTGCCCTGCTCATACACATTCAGAATGCTGCTGCGAAGATCATTCTCCTGAGCAATTGCTTTGACCATTTCACACCCCCTATTTGCATCTGTCCACCAGCTCCCTCTTCTCTACCATATCAAACATAAGCTACTTGAATTAATTTTTGACCTATCTCCATCCTACCTAGCAGTCCTTCAGTATAGAGAGGTTGACTCGTGCTTCTGATTGGCTCATGATGCAATTCTCCATCAGAAAAAGAAATCTGCATTTGTCCTTGTTGAACCTCAGAGTCCTGCACTTAGGACAGAATACCATGCACTGCTACAGACTAGGGACCGACTGAGTGGGTAGGCAGAAGTTCTGCAGAAGAGGACCTAGGGGTTACAGTGGCCAAGAAGCTGGATACAAGTCAGTGTGCCCCTGTTGCCAAGAAGGCTAATGGCATTTTGGGCTGTATAAGTAGGGGCATTGCCTGCAGATCAAGGGACATGATCATTCTCCTCTATTCAGCATTGGTGAAGCCGCATCTGGAGTACTGTGTCCAGTTTTGGGCCCCACACTACAAGGAGGATGTGGAAAAATTGGAAAGAGTCCAGTGGAGGGCAACAAAAATGATTAGGGGTCTGGAGCACATGATTTAATCAGGAGAGGCTGAGGGAACTGGGATTATTTAGTCTGCAGAAGAGAAGAATGAGGGGGGATATGATAGCAGCTTTCAACTACCTGAAAGGGGGTTCCAAAGAGACTGGATCTAGACTGTTCTCAGTGGTACCAGATGACAGAACAAGGAGTAATGGTCTCAAGTTGCAGTGAGGAAGGTTTAGGTTGGATATTAGGGGGAAAAAATTTTTCACTAGGAGGGTGGTAAAGCACTGGAATGGGTTACCTAGGGAGATGGTGGAATCTCCTTCCTTAGGAGTTTTTAAGGTCAGGCTTGAAAAAGTCCTGGCTGGGATGATTTAGTTGGGAATTGGTCCTGCTTTGAGCAGGGGGTTGGACTAGAGGACCTCCTGAGGTCCCTTCCAACCCTGATATTCTATGATTGCCCACTTATTAAATTTTCCAAAACAAGCATTTGTGTGCTCTCCCTGCTGCCCTTCATGTTTGGGAGGTACTCCCTGTAATGTGTAAAGCCACTTTGTTCTCTTTCAAATCCCCCTTAAAACTCTTTCCCATGATGCCTACAACTGTTATGATGCTGGAGTGTTGAAGCCACACTCATGCCAACTAATATAGTCTCTTTTCTCTGTGCACCCCTAGCAGGCTGTTATCTCATCTTATATTTGCAATGGTCAGATCTTTAGGGAAGGAACTCTTTGTTTGGGTTTGTAGGATATCTAGTACAGTAGGATCCTGATCCATGATTAGGGCTCTTAGGTATTGCAATACAAATTAATAAATCCATGGGATTTGTGCTCCTAAATCCCTTAGGCCAGTGGCTCAATCTTTCCAGGTTACTGTACCCCTCTCAGGAGTCTGATTTGTCTTGCATACAACACTCCTCACCTAAAAACTACTTTTACACCAGACACGAAAACGCAAGAGTCTCAGCACTTGTTACTGAAAACTTGCTTACTTTTTCATTTACCATATTATAAATGACAAGTACAGTATTTATATTACATTTCACTGCATAGTATACAGAGCAGTATAAATAAGTCATTGTCAACATGAAATTTTAGTTTTAGTGACTTCACTAGTGCTTTTTATGTAGCCTGTTATAAAACTATGTACTCCTGGTTGGGAGCCACTGCCTTAGGCTATTAGAAAAATCTCCTTTGCATGCTTGTATCTAAAGACATTTGGCCTTAAGTGTTCAGGTTACCTGGAGAATTAGGCTGAAATGAAGTCCTTTTGTGGAGTTTATGTAGACTCAAATGGCACATAATTTGATTTTCTTTTGATACATGCTGCTAGTTAACCTGTGTTAAGACATTCCCTTGAAACCTTGCACAGCATCTGCAGGATACTCTCTCA